ATCACATTTTTCATAACGGTACTAACTTTCGAATTTTTTTTTTCCGTTTGTGAACTTCAGAGCGTAATTTCACCACTTTAGTCAAATGAAATCGTCTTTCTTTATTAAGTGAAAGTTGTTCAGCGTGGTCGAAACTAGTTGTATATAAAATTTCATGGATGTAAGTGTAATACTTCTGATGAAAATCGCATTTTTCATAATGATACTAACTTTCGAATTTTTCTTTTTTATTTGTTAATTTCAGAGTGTAATTTCACCATTTTGGTCAAATGAAATCGTTGTTCAGCAAGATTAAAACTAGTTGTGTATCAAATTTCATGAGTGTAAATGTAATACTTTTGGAAAAAATTGCATTTCTCATAATAGTATTAACTTTCAAATTTTTTTTTCTGTCTATTAAATTTAAAGTGTAATTTCCTTACTTTGGTCAAATAAATTAAGTTTTTTTATTAAGTAAAACATGTTCAATATTTAAAAAAACTACTTACATTTAATTTTTTTTCTCGGTAAAAATTTGCAAAAAAATTTTTTATAATTCTGGCTAAATCATAATTTCTGCCAACATTAATAACGGTGAAAATCACCACCGGTGAGATTTAGCAATACCTAAAATTTACTGCAATTCAGATGCAATTTAGAATAAAATTAACTGCAATTCAGACGCAATTTAGAATAAAATTTACCACAATTCAGAATAAAATTTATCGCAATTCAGATTAAATTTACCGCAATTCAGATTAAATTTATCGCAATTCAGAGTAAAATTTATCACAATTCAGAATAGAAAATTTACTGCAATTCAGATTAAAATTTACCACAATTCAGAATAAAATTTACTGCAATTCAGATTAAAATTTACTGTAATTCATATTAAAATTTATCGCAATTTATCAAAATTTATTATAATTCAGAATAAATTCACTGCAATTTGATAAATTTATGAATATATTTTTTTAAACAATTCAGATTAAAAATACTAAGCAATTCAGATACAATTCAGACATTCTGATCAGCGTTGATCGGCCTGCCAATCAGAACTTTACCTAAATTAATGAATCAGCCATCTTTATCACCAAATTCAGCCTAAAATCGGATATCCGATTTCTAGCCGATTTGGACTATTTTAATCAGTATAAGAAATATTATTCTCATATGAGATTTTCATTTGCTTAACCAATAGTCTAATTTTAAATTAGTTAGATTTATAGATGCGTAACAAACCATAAATTTAACTAAACTCAGTTATGAGTTTGCGTAACAAATACCCAATTTGGCAATTATCATATTTTATATATTTTAAATAATAAAGAAAAATGTTTGATGCATAATAATATCTTCTTTGTCTTTACATCTTATCGTTATCTATACATATACATCTTCATCTTTGCATATTTATTATTTTTATTTTACATATTCACATTTTTTATGCATATTATGGGTGGTTGGAAATACTCAAAATAACGTTTACAAAAACATCTATTTGTTGCCAAGGTTGTACATGCTAAAAAGGTAATTTGTATATGTGGAGTTGCAATAAAACTTAATAGGAAATATGACAAAGACTATATTAATTGTCATGCAAATGGTCTGGGATGCAAACGAAATGAACAAAAAAGTATTTTGTGCTTTTTTAATTCTATAAAAGCTGATAAAGAAGATGATGATAATATAGATTCAGATGATGATTGGAATGATTGGGAAAGTGAGGTAGAAAATGTAATGGATGATGATGATATTATTACAGTAGATGAAAATGAGGTTGAAATTAATGGAGAAGGAAATGCTAATATAGAGATTATTAGCCTAGCAATTACTAATAAAACTGGTAGAAAAAGAAAGCCATGTTTAGGATTGTGTTCAGATTTAATTGCAAAATATGTTGATAGGATACCGGCATGTTATGGTAGAGCTCGTCGTGTTGAAGTAATTGCTAAAGAAATGTATCCTGAAAAATTTCCTAACAAATTTACAAGAAAAAAACTTAAACTATCTCAGAAACATGCATTAAACCAGAAAATTTATACAGAATCTTGATGGCGTGTTGATAAAGATTGTAAGTATTATTATTTATATTTTTGTAATCTTAATCGATCAATTAATGAATATCCTTTTCAAATATTGTTAATAAGTAATACTGTACGTGCTAAGAAATGCACAGGATATTCTGATTTTGAAAAAACAATTTATCATGAATGTTATACACTCAAATACGATTCTATTTTAGCACATTGCCTTACTATACCAAAACCAGCACTCAAAAATCTTAAATTTACACCAAAATTCTATTTCGAGAATAATTCTTTGAAAAAATATTTGCAAAATCAGGATCTTTGTGAGATTTAGTCTATTATCAAGGATAATTATGATACAAATATATGGATTACATTAGCAGATAAAGCAAACAAGGGTGCATTTAAAGAAAAATCTGTATTTACAGAACTTTGTGAAGTAATAGTTCAAGCTGCAGTTCATAAAGATAATAATAAAGGCAAGTAAAATATTCAATATAATGAAGATTTTACAAACTTTCTTATTATATTAGAAAGTTTTAGTACTCGGGCTCTTAATCTTTTTCGTCAAAATTTGGAAGGACGTACAATTCAAAATATACGGTATTTTTTACTTGCTTATTTATTAGTTAATCTTTAATATTTTTCCCTAAAATAATTAACAATTTTCATAAAATTAGTAAACTTCGGGCTAATAATAAAGACACACTCACAAATCCTAACCTTTCATTTGAAAACGTTGCCAAATTTAAAAGGCTAATTGATACATTAAATTATTGGGGCCTATTGTTACTATATCTGATAACACTAAGTTGAAGCCTGCTCTTTGTTATAATCCCGTTTTAGGCTGTATCGTTAGATCAACACTATCAGTTGAACAAACCAAAATTAATGCATACGAGGATATTCAACCAATTATTAATGATATTAAAATAAAAAAAGCAATTGCGAAAGATGTGCGTGCTTATATATTGCAGGTAATTGAATGGTAATTATTGTTCATTTAAGCAATTACATAAACGCAAATGACAAATACTTACTATTCAATTTATTTAGATACTATTGCCGAATTTCCCTCCAGTAGTTATTGCATTAATTGCCAATAACGGAACTGATAATATGTTGATGATAACCAGCTTTCATCAAGAATTGTTAACTCAAATAGCGCTGCAACTTAACCTTTTGATTTTATCAATTGGATCAGATAATGCTATTGTCGAATTTAAAGCTCAAGTTGCAATTCAGTCATATTCAATAAACGAACAGTTAATTTTTAAAAATAATAAACTTGTAGTTGATTTCAGCTGCCCAATTTTTCCAAAAGTAGGACCTGTTATTCACGTATAAGACCCTAAGCACGCAAAAAAACTGGCTGTAATGCAATTATGTCTGGTGCTCATCTTCTTACCCTTGGAAGTTCAACTACACGATTTGAACAATTATTAAAATTGTCAAATCTTTCTAATTCTGTAATGTATCGTCATGATGTAATAAAATTTGACCGTCAAGACGATGGTGCAGCGTATTGTGTATTTTGTTCAGGAAATTTACAAAATTGTCATGAAGCTCACGATACTGAAGAAGATATACGAGGACTTTTTGTATATCTTTTCATAATGAGTTAGATAAAAAATAATTTTGTTATAATTATTTAATGGTACTTTTTTTTCATTATTAAATTATAATTTGAAAATTAGGTGAACTTATCAATAGCTACTTAAACTGTGAAATAACTCCATTAAAAAGAATTAAAATGTCAATGACATCCTTTTTCTTTTTATGATTTTGGAGAGAATATATAACAAATATGAGTGAAAAGTATCCTAATTTTATTTCTGTTAGCAAGAACTTTTTAGCTGGTCAAAGTTTTGCAATTTTTGTTTCTCTTGCGGAGTCTATGGTCTTGTTGGTAAAAGCACATCAGGAATATTACCCAAATTATCCATTTTTACCATGGATGCATGGATCAGAGGCTTGTGAACACTTTTTTGGCATGGCGTGTCAAATTAATTCTGATTTTAATTATTCAGAATTGTTACAATTAGTTCCAAAAATTTCTCAATGTACCAAAGCATTAAGAATAAAAAATGTTACATTGGAAAAAGAAAAATCAGTTCGTGATGGTAAGCAAGCATTATTGTAATATTAATTATTATCTATTTACTAGTTTTAATGAAAGAAAGTAAAAATTACTATTAGTTAACCGATTATAAATCTTCCCTCTCTTATATTTCTTTCAAATAGGTTATTATTTTGATTACAATATCGGAAATATTAATCCAAGCAAGTTAGCAGAATTATGTGCTTGGCCATCAGACAAGGATATTACTTCAGCTGTTAAATATTCTTACAAATTGGTATCTGAACTTGCTAAAGCACTTGATATGGAATCTACTTCAAATATGAATCATTCACTATTACTGCCATTTGTAATGATAGATAATTAAAATTTGAAAGTATCAACTGGAATTAAGCCAACTTTGGAACTGGAAAATGATTCAAATGAATTCTTTGAAATCGATAGAGAAATTTCTAATGCAATTAGTCAAGCATCCAAGCATACTACCAAAAGAATTGATGATGTTCTTGATTTATCGAACATTAAAAATGTTGATGATCAAATTCGGCAAACCTAAGTTATTTCATCTTTAGATAATATGAAAATAATTAATAATAAGCAATTTACTCATGGTATGAATTTTTTTTTTAATTATATTACTACATTATCAAAGTTTTTAATAGTATATTATTAAGTATTAACATAATCGTGAAAGATTCTTCTATTAAATATATTTTTCCAACAGGAGAGCTGAATTATTTGGTTATGATTAAATTACGAAGCATATAATTCAAGACCAATTGAAAGACAAAATCGTGCACATATGATTGGTCATGAAAATACAAATACTATTAATTCAAATAGGGTTAGTCATATAATTTCACATTTTACAAATAATGATAATCTGACAGTACGATTTATTAAACAACGTGAAAAACGATGGAAAGAAAATTGGAAGGTAATAACAGCTAATATTGCAAGTTTACATAAATTTGAATTATCAAGGCAAAGACAAACTGATAAAGTTACAAATAAAAGTAAATATAATGTTAATCATGTAATTTATTTATATAATTTTTAATATTAATAATTTATTATTTAATTTAGTTATATGTGTTGAATCAGCAAATATTACTCAAGATTTTCCATTGCAACAAAGTGACTATGTAATTGCATTGTATGGGACAAAAATTTGTATTGCTAAAATAATAGCAATGTATTATGAAGGTTATGGTAACCATTATTATAGCCAAAATGCAGTAACTCAAATTGAAGATTTGTCTTATATTTCATTACAAGTATATTTGCCCATTCATCTCAATATTTTTGCAAGTCAAACTGTGGAAGGTTATACACTATTTACTCATTAGTGTCCTCAAAATATTATATATCATATTAATTCAAATGGAGTAATAATTGGTGATAGTTCACTAACTTTAACAGGAGTAGCACGTAGTATTTTTAATTATTTTAACCGTGATACTATTAAAAATAGCATTATTAATATGATACAATAATGTCAATTTGTCAATAAAGTAATAATATAAATAATTAAAATTAGCAAGAAATTTTTTTTAATTTTACGAAGTCATAAAATAAATTGCTTAGTAGTGCAAAAAATTTTAATATTACAATTTGAGTTTGCTTAGCAGAATGAAAATAATTTGCTTATTGATCTTAGTAAATTTTGAAATTTTCATCTGACCTATATATATATTGTTCGGGGTCCTTTAGCACCCTTTGGAAAATCATAGTCAGAAACGGATACAGGTTCGTTTGCTGTCTGTAAAGTCTTAAATGTTTTTCCAACTATCGCGATCCCTAGTGGAACCTAATGATCACCTAAAATTATTAAAAAAAAACAAAAATAACATAAAAAACTTCTCTACCTTGGCTTTGTCATTCTGTGAAATTAGAACAACATCTTGCGAAAATGCTGAAGCAAATGATTTTACACCTTTGACCAATGCTAAACAATAATGTTCATCAATATGTTCATTCATTTCATTTCTTCTAACAGCTGCCAGCCGTATTTGTGCAGGATGATGATACAGTTGCACCTCTTTTGTTCCTGAATAACGAGATTGCAAATATTTTTGTATTGTAGATTTTTCCATAAATATTCTGTAGTCCTCTTCCATCTTTTCACGAAGATGTTTGATCGTCTGAACTTTGATTACCTTCTTTCATCGTTTGTGGTCTGCAGTTCCAAATTCAATGCAATTGTGCATTTTTTCCAAAAGACTAGGATCATTCATTAAAAATGATGGTTGACCTGGTGTATCATATATCTCTACAATATTCTTCTTTTCCAACTTTTGCCATTTTTTATTCTGAGCTCGTACCTGGGTTGCTGCATTACCTTTTAATTTTTTAAGTTTATTTTCCTCAAACATTATAATCTCCTCAAGTTTTCTAATTTTTGAAGTAAATTGTGTACGAAATTCTGATGAAGTTGTCATATATAATAGTTTATTGTATTCATATAGTTCAGTCTTAGAATTTTGTAAAAGAGTAAACGAATGTTTTTGTGCTATCACGTTTTGTGGAAATTGAGTATCATTAGAAGGTTTAGGAATGATATTAGGAGAAGGTTCACGTTCAGTTGTGGGTGTTCTTTTTGAAGAAAAATTAGAAAAATTGGAAAAAGAAGGCTGAACAGGAGTTTTTAATAATTCAGAAATAATGTTTTGAATAATATTTTTATCTTTTGTTTTTATTTCTCGCTAACTATTTTGTGCATGCTGCTGCAGTTCTTTTTTATTTAATATTGTATTCTGACTTTTCACCATTTCGGAGAATGCAAAAGCATTTACATACTGTTCATATAAGTTCTGTGGATTTGAAATAAGATAATTCTTGAAATATTTTAGCTCGCGAAAATATGTTTGTTTTATTGTTAAGTAATACGACTGTAATGAAAAAAAATACAAACATATTTATGTTTAGGAAATAAAATTTGGTGTGAAAAGTTGCAAGTGGCAAAAGGAGGTAGTGTGAGAAACTTTCTTAATTGTTGAAACTTGTAACATTATTGTGACATTGTTGCAAATGGCGTAGTAATTAATATAGCACAGAAAATTTATATTATTACTTAATTAGGGGCACGGCTAAAGCGGAGCTAATGTGACTCAAAAAATTTTTCAGATTCTTCCGATGTGACATGTGCGGTAAAATATTTACCTGTGGCGCCCAGCCGGCACAACGTTAAGCCGTGGCTGAGCTTGGGAGGTCCTTCGTGGGTGTAGCGAGTGCTAGTACGAGCCACACTGTCACGAAGGACCGGTCCTGCCACGCTACAGCGACACTGTTGTGACGAGCTGGGCCACTGTAGCCTGTAGGTAAATATTTTCCCGCTATGTGCTATCGGGAGAATCTGGTACAAAATTTTTTGAGCCACTGCAGCCCTGCCCCGCTTTAGCCGTGCCCTTAATTAGGAAATATGCAAGTTTAAACCCTTTTACCCCTTATGAAATGACGTCATTTAGGGCCCTCCCCTTACGCATCTACAGATCATCATTCTGTTTATGATGATGACATCGAAATGTACTGGAATGAGTTTGTGGCTATTTTCAATCTAAGAAGGAAAAAGGAAAAAAATCTAATACGCAGCTGTACAATTATATTATCTCAAGAAACTGACCTCAGTTCTGTCACAATAGCCAGTTTCTATCACCATTAAAGGAAAACAAGGTCTACAACGATAGATAAAATCATTCCATGACTTGAAAGAGAAGGGAAAAAAGAGAGGTCTTTTAGGACTGGGCAATACTTGGGATGGTTTACCCAATTTTTTGGAACCAGTTTTTTACTATTTTTATGAATTCTCACTCGAATATGAGGTTGGTCTAAATATTTTTCTTCTATAAAGGAGAGACTTTTTATATTTTTTTTAAATTGGTTTATAACCTAAACCACAATTCTTTCCACAATTGGCAAATTATTCCATAAGACATAGTGCTTTTATACATGTAGGTAGTTTGGCTCAGAAAAAAAATGTTACGTTCAGAAATAATAGGCTATATTTATGGTAACACGGGTAACATATTATGCATGTGACAAATAGAGATCAGACCACAAAAAATTCAAAGTCGCTGAGATAAATATAAACAACGCGAACGTGGTAGTCATGTGAACGGTAACGGTTAAGCATCACACCTTTCCGAGGTGGTGTGGTAAGATCATTCAATTTTATGTTGCACAAACAAGTTGGATGATTTTCCATATTATCAAGTATTAAAATCGGGAAAATTACACGAGACTTTTATTAGTAGAATTTGATTTTTATAACGAAAAATAAAATTTTGATGACAAAAATTTTGTTACATGTTACACCATAACTTGTAACACTAAGATTTGTGAAACTATAAGATAAGTTGTCAGTAACTTGCTTCAAAAGATTTATAAACCCTTTGATAAAATACGTGTAAAAAAGATAAAACTAGCGGGTTTAACTCAGATAGCTGCAAAAGTGAAATAGAATTTGAATATGAAAGTGAGTATGATATTGAATATGATAGTGAGTATGATAGTAAGTATGAAATGAGTATGAAAGCGAGGATAAAAGTGAGAATGAAAGTGAAAATGAACAGGATGATAGGGATGAAGTCATAAGAGATTAAAGTAACTGAATTGTCAGCATATGTAGTTATTGATTTTATTAATGGCGAATTCAACGATGTGTGCAAAAAGAGGGAAAAATGAGGCAATTACGCAACCTTTTGGTACGTGGCAAGTAGATCGAAGTGCTACCAAAGAAGTAAATGGAATTTTACCTAAATTAGGAATTTACGATTTCCATTTCCAATTCAACAACAAGTCATCAGATAAGAAATTAAAGAGCTTTGAAACAGAAATAATTCAATGGCGTAGATGTATTTCTTGTAATAATTACGTGACTTTTTTTCATGGAAAGAAGGGTGCACTGAGCGTTCTTGGCATCTAAATAAACAAAATATTCGGGTACAATGTATTGGAAAATATGCATATGAGGCATTAAAAGTAAGTTATCCTCTATGCACTCGAGCATTTGATGATATTAAAAGGCCAAAATCTATTTGTTGTTTATGTTATAAAAAACTTGAGGGCCATGTTTATCATCGTCCAGTAATGGGAAAGAAAGGAACTCCTTTACATTTAGAAGATACTAGCAAAGGGCTTAAAATTTGGATAATTTATTAATTGGTAATTCAAAGAACAAATTTTAATAGCATTAACTAGTATTTTTACTCCTTTTGTATCCTTTTCATTTTTAACAAAAAAAAACTTTTATTGAATCCGGCTCTAATTATACAAATACAAACATTGATAATTATAATTCTACATCTACAAATACAATTATACAAATACTAATATTACAAATACAATAGATATTAACAAAAAATTAATAATTACTCAATTACCAATTTTATTTATAATAAAACACTTTTTATTGAGTTATCTAATCAAATAAAAAATAAATGATTCAGGAAAGAAAAATGAAAATAAACAATCGTCAGCAACGTAAACTCCAAAAAACCAATTAAACTATGTCTTGACAAAAGTGTAACATTTATTACTTCAATTTTAACAGGATTTAGCTTTCCCTTCCTTCTACAAAAATTTGACTACCTCAAGTTTTATCCAGTTTGATCCATAAGTCACGACTAATTGGTTCACTTCGCCACTACATTTCACGTAACATCTCATATTGATCGTCATGAAAGTAAACTATGTGTGCATAATAATCAAACAGTAATAACTATAAATAAAATGTTACCCGATAAAGTATAATGTAAAATGGGTTATTTAAGTCAATAATGTGTGCTCTTTGAGCAGTCTCTGACGAAAATGGAGATAAAGATGAATATAAAATGCTTTGGAAGAAATCTAAAGAGGCATTACCACAGATAACGGAGAAAAAAAATACTGCGCTGGCATAAGAACTACAAAATTGGTTGAGTGTGGGATTGCTTTTCAGGGAAAGCGTGCATGTGTGTTGAGTAGAGTTCTTCGTAAGGAGGATAATTAGTGGTAGAGGAAGGATGAAAAGAATAGTGAAAAGAAATAGTCATTATTTTTCACATTGATCATAATGATTTTTACAATTCAAATCAACTGTCACATAATACGCGTTAATATAGGATTAGTTTTTTTACACTTTGGAACTTCAAAACAACACTAGTGTTAATTAACACTAGACGCTGCCTAAAAACTTATTGATGTTATATTAACCACTTCAATTAAATATGAAAAAAAAAAAGAAATTGAATTTGACATATCATATATAAATAATTGTAAATATTAAAGGGAAAATTTAAAATCACAAAGCATATCATAGGCTACTTTTGATGTACTTTTAAATATATATCTAATCAATAAAAAATTTAAAAAAGAATAAAATCCAACTTACAATTAATAAAACAATAAAAGTAATGATATAAAAATAATTCTTTCTTGTAGGTTGATTAAATTCTTCAACTTTCACAGTATCATGTTTTCTTTTTCTTTCATCATCTTTCATATCCAAAATACCATCACGCCAATTTTTTGCTACACTATACAACAATATAGATACTAATATAGCACATATACTACTGCCTAAATAAAAGCTCATTACCATTCCATATTTGCCTCCTTCCAAGTCTTGTAATAATCCAACAAGTATATCATAAATTGTTGATCCAATATTCAAACTCGATTTAACTATACCTAATGCTGTACCAACATAATCTAATGGCAATAGTATCGGTATTGATGACAGCAATCCTACTGGTCCTAATGAAAGTGAAATTGAAAAACAAATCATTCCTGTAACTATTATGATAGGTGATAATTCTACGAATCCAATGAGATACATTGATATAGTAAGAAAAACTGAAGACGCGATTACTAATTCAAAAAAAAAATTAATATATTAATTAACTTAAATAGGATCATTTTTAAAGTAGTTCTGTTAGAGAAATAAGATAATTCTTACTTGTTAAAGAACGATTTCCGAAACGATCTAAGAAGTATCCAAGGAAAGGCGAAATGAATATTGGTAAGAACTGAGCAATACTAGAAGTATAAGCAGCATATTCATCCGTGCTATTCCATCTAGTTTTTATCAATTCCCTATAATTAAAATGCAAGTCAAATCACTAGTATAAATTAATGTATAAAAGTGAATGAGATAAATAATCTTATTTACGTGTGAATATGTAAAAATGAAGTCCATGCACTACCCAATAAGATTTCGAGTAAAACAAAGATCCAATAAATAGTAGGAAATACTAATACTTTTTTAGGGCTAAAATGTTTTTTTTGTTTTATCTTCATCATTTCTTGTTGTGATAATTTGTCATGGAGTATTCTCATTAAAAGAATGTATGTGATGTTGATTATTAATGAAACGATGCAAAGAAACGCAGAAAACTATACCATAAAATAAGGATAAGTTTTAAAAGTCACAAGACTTAAGATGAATAATCATAATTTATCATACCCAAAATGCCCATCCATAAAATCCTGTTCTTTCCCAGATTGGGACCACCGTCAGATTGCCCAAAAATGATGACTTTATAAAAAAAAAAAGTTAATTATATTATCGATGCATATATACAACTCTTTTGCATTTTTAATATCTCATACCATTCTTGACGCAGCAACCTGAATTCCTACAACAATGGCCAGTCCTTTTCCTTTAAACCAATGACTTAAAATGGCCATTTGAACTGTAACAATAGTCCCACTACCAATTCCATATAAGAATCTACCAATTACCATCACAACAAACGATCTTAAATTAGTTGATAATGCTACAAATACACTTCCTATAGCAATAAGAGAAGTAGCCAATATGGAACCAATCGAGGTGCCAAATATGTCGATAAATACTCCACCAAGAATGGGCAGAATTGTATTAACCAATGATACTGATGATTGAAGAACTCCATATTGCGAATTTGAAATGCCTAATTCCTTATAATTAAAGAGAATAATTTAACATCATGTGATTGTGAAACAACCAATATAGAATATATACATACTTTCTTGACGATTGACTTTAGAGCGCCAAGAGTATGAGCAGCATAATGACTTCCCACTAAAGAACATGGAAATAAAAATTACATTACTAATTAGCATATCTATTTTCCAACTTTAAATACCCACCGGATAAAGACAAAACGCATAATAAAGCAATTAATTTATATTTCCAAGGCCTTTCTTCCTCATAAGTCACTTCTTCTAATGAAGCTTTATGAGATTCATTATCTTCGTAATCGGAATCAAAACTAAGTCGTCTTTCCTCTGGTAATTCACTTGACAATGAAGAACGTGTGGGGATAGCTTCATAAGCAGAACCATTTGACGAACTATAGAGACTAGGTCTCCTTTGAGAAAGAGAAAGAAGCGGTTCGGTGGAAGTCATTTTGACTATATATTTTCATATAAAAATATATAAAAAAAAAAAAAAATTTTTTTTTTTTTTAAAAAAAGGATAATTTAATATACGTGTAAATCAAAATTATCAGATTTTGATCTTCACTATTTATATTTACTAAAGTATAAACATGGTATGGTATCAGCTATCAGGCGTTATCAGATTCTTTATCAGATTCTTCACTCATTATGACATATTTTTTTAGAACTAGGATTCTAACCATAATTTCTGATTGGTGTTTTGTTGCTTTACAATTCTTATATATAAGCTCCCGTGACTTGGGTCATCAAAACATTTATTCTTTTTAGGATGAATGACTCTCTAAATAAAGTATAGAAAAAATGGACGCGAGAAGAGTCAATATTGGAAGTTAGCATTTTGAAGGGTAAAATAGGCAAAGTTTTGTAAAAATTACTAAACTTCCAAAGACAATAAGTCGAAATACCAGACTAAACACATAAACAGTAGAATTATTAAAGTTGCAGGTTATTTCGTCTATAACAACAATCTTTAAGATGTCCTTAACCAATTTTAGTTCGTGCCTACCTCTTCCGTTAGTCTCCCTAATTTCAAAATGAGTTGTGTAACGAAGATTAAATGGATGATATACGTATTCCGTGCTAACTTTGTGTAGAATGCTAACTAGGAGTATAAATACATAGTAAAAACTAGCTAAAGTAAGTAAACGAATGAGGAGTTCACCCTTTGTATAAAAAAAAAAATAAAAGAAGAAAAATAAAAAAAAAAACTAGCTATCGAATAATCCAATTGATTTTTTGATTTATTGGCTAACTTTATATTGTCATATGATTAGGGATGCTATCATAAGTATGATTCAATTTAGTGTGACCGGCAAATATATCAATATATGTAACGCGTTACTTTAAAAAAAAGGAAAAAAAGGGAAAAGGGCTTACTTAATAACACTCCGACAGTCCGACTTTAGGTTAGACTCCTTTTTAATAGCAATATCAAAGAGTTTTTTTATAGGTGTTTTATGTAAAGTTTGATTAAAATTTGTACTAATAGAAATTTAGTCCAAGACACTCCAAGTACTTAATATACAACAACCATTGTATATATTCCAAATTATTATTAAGGTCTGGTTCATGAAAAAACTAAGAACTATTAATATAATTTGTATCGTCCAAAGTTAATAGTAATACTTAAAATATATTAGAATTTTTCTTTTAATAGCAAAAAAATTGTATCATAAAAGCTTTTCTTCATATGAGGGATAGACGAAATTGCTTCAAGTATTTGTAATTATTGTACAGATTATTTTTGTATAAAAATATTTTTCCTTAATACTATCTACGCGATAATTTTAATAAACTTTATTGACCAATAATCGCTTAAGTATAGTAACTAGCCTGTCTTTAACTTTTGATTTTAATTTATCGCGTGCGATCTCATAGACGTCATACAGATTTTTAATGTCCGCCACTATTTGAAGCAGCACGTCCAATGATAGTAATTTGTGGACTAGATAGCAAAAAAAAAAATAATAAAAGATGTGTATTTTTCATTCCATATTTAATTCTAATTTTTTTCATAATGTTTATAAGATCTGTAAGTTTAGTTATAGCGCAAAATGACATTTAATATGAAATTTTTACCTGTAAAATATATTATATAATGTAACTATAATATAAATTATGGCGAAGTGAAGATAATTCGTGAAATTTTTGAAGCGAGAATTTTTTCATGAGAATGGGTCAAATTTTTTCGAAATATTATATTGGCATTGTATAAAAAGGAATATTCTAACGAAAAAACAATTTTGATACAGTGCCAGTTAAAATTCCATAATATGTTACATTCACACGCCTTACACAAGAATTCACCAAAAAAAAACATTTACTTAAAACAAACATTTCTAATACAAATCCTCACCTGTTTTCATGATTAAACATGAATAAACAAACCATTACACCAACTTTGAAAAATAAACTGTTAATTATTTTATTATGCATATATCGAATAATTTAATTTATCAAGTTACGTTTAATGCTTATCTCGCATAGATTCGTCCCCAAAAAATATGGACTGGCGGAATGTTAATTTTACTTTCCTTGGCAGATTCAGTAAATGACAAATCACAAAATGACATTATGTCATTTTAAAATGAATCATTGTTATCATTTGGAAATTGATCAAATGACAATGTCATTTGCCATCACTTTTTTAAATTTATAGGCTATCAAGGAAAACGGACAAAATGATTGATCAGAAGGATAGAACATTTTGGAAAAATAACCGATTAAATTTATAGTAAATAATAAAATAAACAAAAATGTGAGTATAACAGATAGTCGTATGTTAGTATAGTAATAAAATACAAAATATATAAAATTAAAGTGAATTATGAAGAATATATATCTTTGCACTGGTACTGTTGGAACAAATATTTTCTTTTGTGAACTTTACACGTTAGGAGGTAATGTCCGGTTGGAGTTGTTCTCACTGAATCCTATCTCCTTGGAATTTGAAGATCATCTACTGTTGGTGCACTGCTTAATTGTGGAGATTGGACGATTTATTTGTGATACTAAATATCTATATTAATATTTGACAAAAGTGGTCTCGAATCTCGATTGTTCAGGAGTTCTATGTATCTCTGTTAAAATTAAATTTTCCTTGTCTACCTTTTCTTAAGAGAGTCTTAGATATTCCGTAATATATACATCCAGAGAAACAGGTACGGAAATGGAAAAAAAAATAAAGTATAATACCGTAACCAAATAAATAACACCTTGATTAGACAGATTTTTGGTTAATTCTTTTTTATTTATTTAATTCAAACCATCTAAAGTCAAAAATAAATATTCAAGAAATACAAATTATATGACTAAAAGAGTTCACTATAGTAAAAACTTTTATTAACTAACACTAATTTCATTGGTGATAAGTGTAGGGGATAAAACTTTTTCAATATCTTTCCAAGCGTCATCATATCTAGCATTATCACGATTAATAGAACTTCTTTCACATAAAGCCAATATATTATCAGGATCTCTCTTTAAAGCAATATTTAAATCTTTCAAAGCATCTTCATTTTTATGTAAAGAACGATAAATACTACCTCTATAACAATAAGCTTCGGTCAATAATTTATTTCCAGATGGAAGTTCAAATTTCAATGCTTTATTTAGATCCTGTAAACTTTCTTTAAATTTCCCCATAGACTTATAAATAGCTCCCCTTGTAACAAACAATTCACATTTGTCACCTTGATTTTCCATGGCAACACTAAGTTCATTTATTGCTTCTTCATAACGTTTTTGTTCTTGAAGAATCTTGGCATGGTAACAAATAAATGAGAGATTATTAGGCTCCAATTTAATAGCATCATCAAATACTTCTAATGCTTCATCATATCTGCATAATTCAAATAACAATCTTCCACAATTTTCTAATACTTGGATATCTTTTGGTAAAGATTTCTTAATTTGTAACCAATCAATAAGAGATTCTTGAAATTGTTGAGATCTTTCAAATAAATTTGCTCTTCTTTTCAATACCTTCACGTCATTTGGATTGATATGAATAACTCTATTCATATCAGCTAAGGCATCTTTGTAATTTTTAAGTTCTTCATAAACTGAAGATCGTAATTCAAATGAATAAGGATTTTCATCAAATTCCAATGATTTATTCAAATCTTTTAACGCTTCTTTGTATTTTTTGGAATTGAAATAACATTCACCACGATCTAGGAATATATTTCCACTAACAGGTTTAATTTCTAATGCTCTATCGAAATCCTTAATGGCTAAATCATATTTCTTCATCTTTGATAAAGTCTTACCTCGATATCTCAAAGCTGAAGGGTGATCTACCAATTTCAAAGACTTATCTAAATCTATTTGCGCTTTATCATACATTTGCATTAAAGTATACAATTTCCCTCTATTTCTTAATATCTGAGGATTATTAGGATTAATTACCAAAGCAGCATCAAGATCTGACAATGCTTCTTCATATCGTTTTTGATCACGATACAATTTAGAACGATATAAGAGAGCACGAAAACATTTTGAATTAATACTTAGAGCTGTGTTTAAATCATTTAATGCTTCGTCATGACGATTTATTGCACGATAGATTTTTCCCCTTTCAGAAAGTGCGGTCGTATCTTTTGGCTTATTACTCAATGTACTGTTTAATTCTTCTAATGCTTCATCAAATTTAGCCAATTGAGCCAAGACCTGACTACGCATTCCAGATACATCCTTCTCTTTAGGATTAATTTTTAATGCTGTATCTAAATCATGTAAAGCATTATCATATTGTCTTAATATTTTGTATATTTCCGCTCTTCTAGCATAAATTGAAGATTTTTGTTTTTTCTTTGAAGCTGCAGTAAAATCAGCTAATGCCTCCTTATATCTACATAAACCACGATAAATTTTACCACGAGTTCGTAAAATTTGAAAATCCACTTCAACATTTGATAAAAGTAATTTTTCAATATCATCCAACCCTTCTTGATATTTAGATTGCAATCTATATATTTTCGCTCTTTTTAATAAAAAACCTGGATCCCCCGGAATCAGCTTTAATGCCCTATTAAAATCTTTCATTGCTTCATCATAATTGGATAATTTCCTATGTATAGTTCCTCTCAATTCAATGGCAGCAACGTTTTTAGGTTCAATGCTTAAGGTATTATTCATATCTTTCAAAGCTTCAGAAAATTTTTCTTGATCAAAATAAATTTCACCTCTGGTACGTAAAGCCCAAATATTTTTCCCATCAATTTCCAATAATTTACTTAAATTTATTAATGCTTGATCAAAACTCTGCTCATTAATGTCAATTTGTGCACAAATTTTTAATGACTCCAATGCTCTAGAATCATTTGCATCTCTCTTTATCGCAGTGTTTAAATCATTTTTTGCTAAACCTAATTGATTTGTTTCATTATGGATCAATCCTCTTATATAATAAGCTCTGGCTTTATTTGGTTTTTTATCTATAGCTAAATTTAAATCCTTTATGGCTTCCTCGTATTTTCGTAGATGTTGATAAATTTCAGCTCTATCACATCTCGCTTTGTAATTATCCGGATAAGATACAATTAGTTCATTAAGACATTTAAGAGCTTCTTGACGATTATCATTTTTAATAGCTTTGTTAGCCTTTCCACGTAGTGAACTAAGTATTATGGGAATTTTGACTCTAGGCTTTTGGTACATGGATTGAGGGTCGTTATTATGCATGTTGTGTGGTACTTCAATATTTCCTCTTGAATAATTAAATAATTCCTTGTCTTTGGGAGGAAGAGGAGGTGGAATATCATCACTGTATGGTTTTTTCTTTTTCTTTATTAAATTGGCCATTGGAATTTTCTGAGTAACTTGAAGTGCAAATAATATTTATCTTATTTGCAAATTTAGAAAATTATAAATGAAATGGTGATGCAGTGACGGAGTAACGATGTTCTTTGATTGTCTATTAAAAAAAGGGGGTTTAACTAAATTTATGTGCAATCAAGTTTTAAAATGTTATTATAATCATTTATTTAGTAATATTTATTTCATGTAATCGGAATTGACCAGATTTACACAAAGCCGCAGAATTTAATCGCTGCGCCAAATTATGGATTCAAGACTGAATTCAATCGATCAAAGTCATCAGACGATCGATTTCTTTAAATAGTTCACTATCACGTTCACACGATATAATCCGAATTAGATGAGGCACAGCTTTAATTTAATAGATTGTGATTGAATTTGATGCATTACAAAATCACAACCACTAGTTAAAAGCCACGTATTCTATAAATATATTGTACAACTTTTATAATATTGAAAAATAGAATTAGCCAAGATAACTATCCAATAAAATAATAATAATAATACTAATAGTTAGTCTATCATTCATTAGTTATTTTATATATTAAACACAAGAAGAAATCAACAAGCACAACTATTCCCTTCGCTATTATTTTGAGTGCCAGAATTGATATTGACATCAATGACTAAAAGTGTTTTAAAAGATATAAAAAAAATTAGCAGCTTTATAATAAAAATTTTAAAGATGTTTGGAATTAATTAGATCTTACGTTGGTTTTGAGGCTCATTCATTGTATTTTCCATTCCAGGCAAAGCTTGAGCAATTTTACGGAAAAGTGTTTTAACATTATGACCAGCTTTTGCACTTGTCTCGATAAACATGACGTTAAATTCTTTAGCTTTCTTTTCTCCCTCCTCTGTTGTTACTTGTCTAAAAATTTAAATAAAATTTTAATATTGGGAAAATATATCAGACATTGATATTGATTTTGTACCTTTTGTCATTTAAGTCCGTTTTGTTGCCGACCAGTACAATAATTACATCATTGCCTCGTTCAGCACGGACGTCGTCAATCCACTTAGCAGTATTCATAAATGAATTCCGATCTTTAGAATAAATATTTGTTAAGATCAAAGTAAAAAAATATTAATAAATTTACTTTTAATTGAAATTAGAATAACGTACTTGTAATATCATACACAACAACAGCTACGGAAGAATCACGGATATAACTAGGAATTAAACTACGGAACCTTTCCTAAATAAATTTTTTTTATGAATTAACTTTCGTAAACAAAATAATTTTACTTCATGATATATTCATGAATTACCTGACCAGCTGTATCCCATAATTGCAATCTAACAGTTCTATCTTCCAAATACATTGTTTTAGATAGGAAATCTATTCCAATTGTAGCCTATTCACGGTAAAAGCCCTTAAACCCGTCAATAATATTTAATCAAATATGATAATGAAAGAATATTTATAATAATATTTCATTCTCGAAAGTTAAATAAAAAAAAGAACCATATACCTGGTACGTGTTATCGAAAGTATCATACATAAACCGAGTAATTAAAGAAGTTTTTCCGACTACATAGTAAATGAAAAAAAAAGATGTAAATCTCAAATATAACAAATTAGGTGTCATCTTTTTAGTTGATTTTTTTTTTTATTGTTAGTAATAAGCAAATTGCAATGGCTATGAACTGTTGGTAAAGGTAGTTTTAAAGAAAGTATAACTCGCAAATAACTAATAATACTTGTTTAGCGTACCGCTCTGCTCGCCCAGAAACACCAATTTGAATTTTCTCAAAGGATTACTAAATTCTGAGGGGCTTGCCGCTGCCATGTTTTCTATAATATAAGATTAAACCGTAAAGAGCTTGATAAAAAGTTACTTAAAGGACTATTGGTAAGGACTATTGGTAAGGACGACAAGTGGTAACAATTCCTCGAAGATTTAAGTTTCATATTATATTTGGTGACGTTGAACACTTGAATTCGATTTGATTAGTATTATTATAGTAAAGATATGAGGATTGTTCATTATTGTGTCATGTCACATGATTTCTTTACGTTCGCCATAAATGAATAATTTATGATGAATTCAACATTTATTACTAAATGCAATGTTGGTGTAAAAAATTTGTGGAAATTTTTGGAGTAAATAAATACTATAACAATATATATAAAAATAAAAATGAAATAATACTGGAAATAAAAATGTCAAAAATAAAAGAAAATTATTCAATAAATTTTTAATTTGTATTATAAACAGTAGAATCGCTTTTAACATTTTCATAAACTGTTCCAATTATCTTCAATGCTTCTGCTCGTTTACGTAAAACCAATTTATTCGCTTTATTATCTGATAATACACGATCACACACTTCTCTCAAAACTCCCTCAACTTCGAGTTTAGAACCTTTCCATAAAGCAGTTAAACCCTTGAAATTTATTCAATTATAAAAGAAAAAATCAATAAGATAATATGAATTAATTTAGATTATAAATTAATAAAAAATATTTTAAATTACTTTGCTTGCAGTTGCTTCCTCCAATTTACTCTTTTCGTCGCCTTCCAATCCCTCTTGTTCAGCCTTTTGCAATTCTTTAAAAGAATTCTGAAGATCGATAGCGGATCGCAATGTTGAAATAGTTTCTGAGAATACATGACCTTTCTCTCTTAATATATGCCCAAATCTAGGTAACCCAAAAATTTGCTCTCCGCCTAAATACTGTTTTGCTTTAAGTGAATAGGTAAATCCAATTGCATGCAATAATTCGACACCGTAAGACTCAGCTTTTAGATCTTCTGCTTCAAGTTCGATCATATTTTTAAATTGTTCGGCTCTCTTTTCGTCGTTTGAATCAACATAAACTGAAAGTTTTTGTACTAAATTTGAGACTAATTTATCCACGCGTTGTCGTCGAATTTCATCACGTTCTTCATCATTATTCGGCTTGTTACGTATTTTTCCTTCTTCAGAAAGATCTCCATTCATCTCTTCTGCCGCTGCATTTTGAAGAACCTCTTTCATATCTCGTCCAATTGATATTTCACCAATTATGTCTACAAAACGATCACCACCAAACTGTTGCCTGAAGAAATCTTCGGGATTAACTATTTCCATAAGATAAAATGAGAAAAAGTTATCAATTATAATTAATTAATTTTTTTTTATAAAAAAATGAATAACAATATTAATGTTTACCGAAGCCTCCTTCGGGTTCGGCTCCACCAAATTCATTATATTTTTGCCTTAATTCAGGGTTTGATAGGATTTGATAAGCATCTGATATTTTTTTGAACTATTTAACAGAAAAAAAATGTTAAAAATGTGGAAAGGTTATTTTGTGAATAAATGTATACATCTATCCATAAAAACCCTCGCATAACTTGTTGCTCGGCGTCAGGCGATTTATTCTTATCCGGATGAAATTGGAGTGCAAGTTTATAATATTGTTTTTTTATTTCACTACTTGAAGCCGTTGGAGAAACTCCAAGTATATCATAAAGCTCGGTTTCCAGGGGTTCTTGCGCTATATAGTAATAAAAATTTTATTTAATTAAATAGTAATATAATTTATGTAAAAATATACAATTAATAAAAGTTGATTGTTCCCACCTGTTCCAAATTGTCGTCTTGAAGATTTTTTTGAACTAGTGGAATTATTACTCGAGTTTTTACCATTTGTATTCGTATTTATATCTATATCTAAATCGAATTTAGAAACCTTTTGACAGGAATAACATATAACCGATATTGGAGGGGTAATAGACTTTGGTGATTGAAATTCAAGTTGAGCACGACAATGGCTGCATTGTTTATGAACGAATTCTGGTTTGCGAGAAATTACAGGCGTTCCCATTTTATGATCAAAGTTTACGGAATTTCAGAAACTTTTTTTTTTTTTTTAAAGTATCCGCAGTGGAAGATTTAATATCACATGAAAACATCATTTACACAACAGGAATATGCATGTGATAAAAGAATTCATAAAGCGAGCCACTTATAACTTAAATACTCGATTTGGACACAATAAGCACGTTTCGGAGTTTACGGAATTTAATTCGCAAATGTCCTTAACTTCTATATATGGAAAGATTTATGAAAAGTCGAGCGGGAAACGGGACATACCAAAAAGTGGAACAGAAAAAATTATCAGGGTCAAAAATTTCATCACGATAACGTGATCGAGATCTAAAGGTTGATCGTGATTATCAAAGTTATACTGTTTATTATATTATTATTATTTTATTGGTTTGTCGTTTAGAAATTTGTTAAGAAGTAAATATTGAAGAGTTTTTATATTGTAATGGTTGTAATAATCTTATTTCTTCTACTTATTGACAGCATCAAAATGAATCTAACGAAGCAAATTATCTGAACTAAATCATGAGATGCGCAGTAAATGTAAAATATAAAAGATATATTTATTGTCATATATTAGGTTAGATTATTATCAAAAAAAAATTTTTTAAACAATATAATCGTTTTTTTTTTGATTAAAGGGGGTCGTACAAATCACTGTATCATTGTAGCTTTTTTTGATTAACAAACTACAGCCCTTAAAAAATAGGTCACATGTACAATTTTACGCGTTATGTTTTTCGTTTTTGTGAATGCGTTGTTTGATTATTAATATTATTAATAGAGACTGTTGGCAGGCAGGTGAATCCAGAATTTACAAAGAACACGAGATGAAATGTGGAGGTAGAAAATAATAATACTTGGACAAGTTGTTCAAAAACCAGAATTGTGGCGAGTTTTGTTACTTGTTTGTAATATACTTAGTATATTAGCTAAATACCAGCGACCAAATATTAAGCCATCATTCTTTGGGGGGGTCAAGAAAAAATGTGAAAGTTTTAGACACGATGCGAAGATATATTCTGGTCCAATTCTGTCTTCCCGGTGATTACTGATTAAATTTATTAAATCACTCATGTGATATTAGTGAATTTTAGGGATAATGCAGGTTGCCCTCTTTTTTAAGATTTGTACAACCATCATCTATTAATCAAAAACTGCGTTTAATGAAAACCCAAAAATTGACTCATGCACGGAGTTTACTACAGCAAACTGTTATTGTTCAAAAGTTTGGAAATTCCTTTTAACATATATTAGAAAGACACGACAAAAATATTGCATAATTTTTCGGTTTTGGTTTTTTTTGGTGTAGGCTTTTACATTATATGAGAATTTTGTCGTTTGGTATCGTTTGGTATCAAGGTGAGAGTAATTTTTATAAGGTGATAGTTTTTTTTCATTCTTGTTCCTAATAATGGTTTTCTTTTACTTGTATTTTAAATCAATTTAAGTACGCCCATCAATCATAACTTAATTTAGATAACTTTCGGAGCCACAAGGTAAATTTATTTTTATTATGTTTATGTAATAGTTTCTTTCGGAATTTGAATGTTTACAATTACGTAGAATGGGACGCAAAGATTTCATTCAGGACGTCAAAATTCTTAAAGAACATTTTCGTGGCCTTAACTCAAAAAGTGCTTCCTTAGTTCAAGGTAAATGAATAAATTATTTTAATTCAATTCTATTAATATTTGCTCTTAGCCACGCACCGAATTCTTCGCGTCACTACAAATTTACGCTAATAATTTATTTTATTATAGGTTTTGATTTTCAAGATCCAGAATTAAGCTTCAAGTTCGCATATAGGGCTGGAAAATCAATTACTGTTCAGATTTTTGTGAATGGTAAGGTGACCAAACTTCAAATATCCACCAATAAATTTTGATTGTTATGTCCTCACAGGATCTGCTTGAAATTTAAGTTGTGGTTATGTTTCCGATTTTGCATTCGGTGGCCATATTGATTAAACCATGCGGGTTTTTTTTCTAAGACTCGTCATTACAGTCGTATCCTACCAAATTTAGCGCGTTCGTCTGTGTGGATGCTGTAAGCGAAGAAGAAGCAAATATTGGTAAATAGATTCTTCATTTATTATATTTTATATATATTTTTTTTTTGTTTTGACCAAATGAATAATTATACCGATTATTTTATATATAATAGCCGCGAAATGCCTATCAAACGTAAACATAGAAAACAAAACCGTTAGCGAAATTGTTGCTACAATTATACCGAAACTATGTGACCATTTCCGAATCGCTCTTCCTAAGGACCTTTCAATGAATGCACTAAGTAAATTTAGTCGAGGATCTTCTTCCGCTACTTCTAGCCAAGAAAAAGTTCAGGTCAAACCTATTGTACCGGCTGTTCAAACTCCAGCTCAGTTTCTTAATAGGGATTTAGCTGAATTGCAACATTTTCGGTATATATATTTTCAATGGCAATATTTCTCTTATCTTTTGTTAATTAGAAAGTTTATTGTTTTTATTCTTTGGTATGTAGGTATAATGCCGAACTACTTTGTGCAGACGAAATTGGGTTTAAGGTAGTTGTATCAATGCCGGTGACGCGGCTCGGTCTTAGTTTTGAGGCTTGCGAAGCTTGGAACCTTGATCCTAATCGGTAATAAACGCTTTGTCGCTTATTATTAAACATCTAATTATTGAATTTAATGTTATTTTATTATTATTTCCGCAGTTATTTGGTATGCACTATGCAATTTTCACCTAGTTATATTGATTTACAAGGTGTAATCGCAAATGCACTTCAAACCAAAGCCTATCTTATTAAAGAAGGTGGTACCTATCAAGTGATTAAAGATTCATTAAAAAAGCAGTTTCCCATAACATTTACAGTATTAACATCATCATTACCAAGAGGAATACCAAGCCAATCACATCACAAAGATGACACATTGGAAAGTGATCATTTTGTGCTCTCCTGGACCTTGACCGAATTATTGCGACAAAAATTCTTTGATATGTTGTGTGATCGCATGTGGTTTGGGATAGGTTGGTCAGGTGCAGAATATGCTGACCTAAGAAGAAATAAAGAGTTAGAAATGGATTTTCTCAATACCGAACAATCAATATATAATGGGCAAATTGATGAATGTCTAATAAAAGATGAAGTACATCATGGAGTCTTGTGCTACCTTGAATCCGAGGATATTGAAGTGTCAACAGCCCGGACGAATAGAAATTTTCTGTTATTGGTTTTAAGATTTTTACGTCGGAGGATATTACTTTCAACCCAATATTGTCTTACGTGTCACTACCCTCATATGGAATCTTCTGTGTCATCCATCAGACCCTTTGTTTGCGGTTCGGCTTTATGTCAACATCAGGCACTCGTAGGATTAGGGAATCTCTTTGAAGCTGTGTTGGTGAATAGTCCTGTAGTCGTTGATCTGTTAATATCACTATGTTATGTAGCGATTGGCGCACAAAACTTGAGCCCACACCCAAGTAAAGCAATAGGAGTTACTACCACGACGAAATATGAAATCCAAAACTCATTAGTTGTTGATTGGGACAACGATATAGGCACAGTTGGGACACGTACCGAGAGAGGTTATACTGTATACGGATGGAAAGGTTTTGACGGTCAAGTTTTGGCCAATGACATGTTAGAAGTATTTCATCCGGAAACAGGTGTATCCTTTCCTGTGAATAGATGCAGTCATACCACGTCTGTGCGCGTTCTAGAAGTTTCAGCAAACACCTTGATCATCGATTTTCCAATTACTGTGTCTACTACAGTTGTACCCAATCGCCATGTATATTTACCATTTCGCGTTTATCGACGAAGTGAAAGAAATTTTTTAAATGATAATGATACTCCAAATTATCAACTTCTAAACACTATCATCGATAAATTACCTTCAGTAAACACGATGGTGCAATATGCAAAGAAAAAGATATTAAAAGCCGAACTTGACAAATTAGATCCATTATGCTTTCCTCTCTTGTCATGGATAATTTCTTCTAACAGAACTCATTTGCGTTTACTGGAATCTGAGGACGAAAAGGTTCAATTTGGTGAAAACGGTGCAAATTATGGTAATTGGAAACAATTCATTATGATTATGAGTTCACCTGAGAAAGAAGAAACTTTTCAAAGAGAAAAAGAAAAATTGAAAAATGAAAGAAGGGGTCAAAGTAAACATTTTTTATTATACTTAACAAGTTCATCTGGGTTCTTTATTATGATAATAACCATATTTTATATGATTAGCTTTAGGTGAACTGTTTGCTTTTCACGGCTCACCACTACAAAACTGGCATTCAATTATTCGGTAAGAGATTACTACGATGTATTAGTCACTGCTTATATTCATTCTAATTAATTTTAATTTCTAGGACTTCTTTAAACTGGAAGAAGATTGTACATGGGCGCGCCTATGGAGACGGTGTATATCATTCTCTTCAGGCTCAAACATCATCATCGTATGCTGGAGCTTATTATCGTTATGATGCTGGTGTTTGGAAAAATTCAATGTTGGTTGTGCAAAAGTGTATGGCTCTTAGCGAAATTGTAAATAGACCAACACAATTCACCAGGTAATTAATTTATTACTTATTTATTTATTTATTTCAGCATATTTCAGCTTACGTTACCGTCAGTTGTGCTGTCATCTGTCCAATCTTATTTTTGTTATAAATTATTGGATATTTGATATATTAATTAACGTAATAATTTTTTTATTAGCACAAGCCCTCACTTGGTCGTCAAGGATGAGGCATGGATTACAACACGTTATCTTTTTGTTGAGTGTTTAAGGGATCCATTAGATCCAACAAACGAAGAGGAGGAGGATTGGTCAAATAATTACAATAATAATAACAATTATATACAAAATATTAATATGCCAACACTTACTTCGTCATTAACGAATTCATTGACATCCGTCCTGCGTCGTCCTAGAGATAATTCAGGGTTTATAAATTTGGATAATACTTTCTATCCTGTATGGCTTAATAACCATCCTTTGCAAATTCCAATAAGGGACTTCTCTATCATTAATAACGATATACCTGACGAAAGCTCAATCGGAGTTGGTCAATTCCATTATGACCCGTCGGATTCACAAATTTTAATCAAGGGATCCTCCAGCTCGTCGAGCTTTAATAATAATGGATCAACAATATTTGATACTATTGATGAAGATACTATGGATGAAGACGAGGATGCTGAGGAGGATATAGATGGAAATGATATTGAAGATGACGAAGAAGAAGAATTTGAATACGATGACAACTTTGATGATGGATTTGAATTCAAAGACACTGAAAAAAATCATGAAGAGGAAATTGATGACGAAGATGGTAGGCACAATATTATCGATAGTTACGTTAATTAATTATTATTGCTAATTAATATTTTCACAATAATGTTAACAGATGGCATAGATCTTACATTACTACCTATTCCTGGTATGTAACAAAATTTCATTTAAAACCTTTTATATTAAAAATTGAACATTATTTTTTTTTTATAGCTGAATCCTCCAAGGGAGCTACACAACGTATTTGTAAAGAATTAAGAACAATAATAAGCAGACAGTCGGATCCATCTAATGATTTGGGATTCTTTGTCGATACTAATAGATTACAATCAGTATACCAATGGGTTTGTAATTCCTTATAATATAATATTGGAATATTCTTTATATTAAATATTCTTAATTATTTATAAATAGGTGGTTCAACTTAATAATTTTGATTCTAATCTACCACTTGCTCAAGATATGGCAAGAAACCGGGTAAATTCCATTGACCTGGAGGTTAGATTTGCGCCTGACTATCCTTTTGTACCACCGTAAGTTTTAACTTCTTTTCTTTTTATGCGTATGATTGACTTAAAACCAATAATATCAATCACCTGTTTTTTCATCGTGCTTTAGATACGTTCGTGTTATTCGCCCCAGACTCTTAAGATTTATGGACGGGGGTGGTGGACACGTGAGTTATTTTTATTTTATATCTTGTGCATATAAATATTATGTTGTACATAATTCAATGAATCAAATAGGTAACTGCTGGAGGATCTATTTGCATGGATCTTCTGACGCTTGGAAATGAACGTGAACGCGGATGGTCTTCTGTTTACACGATGGAGGCTGTATTACTACAGGTAGATAATTAGCCGGTTATAACAAATAAAATGTAATTAGCAATTAATCGATTAAATTTATTACAAATATTCTAGGTTAAGATGGCATTAAGTTCTCTAGATCCAAAACCAGCAAGGCTTGATCGTAACTGGAATTGTGAATATAGCCCTAGTGTATGTGTTTTAGTATCTTTTACTATTATTGAACGCGTATATTAATTTATTTAAAATTATAGGAAGCTATTGACGCATATATAAGAGTCGCTAATCAGCATGGATGGGCCGTACCACAAGGATGGAGTTCTTTATTCGGTCGTTAAAAGACAAAAAAAAACTATTTAATCTTATGGTTAATTAATGATTTGAATTTGATGTATTCCTTATTTTATTTTATTATATGCTTTTGCATAATTTACTGAGGTTAATCAAACTATTATCTTTTTATTGTTTAAGTGATGAACAAAGTAGTGTAGATAACGTCTTGATTGAATTTATGTACAATTTTATTACGATGCGAGCTTTATTACTATTTTGATCATGCCCAATTTTTCATACATCTGCCTAACAATTTAACAACTAAATTATAATAACAATTTAGACCAATTGTATAGCAGTAATCAGCTGTTAATCGGCTTTTTTCTAAAGAAAAATATATCTCAACAAAAATAAATTGCTTTATTTCAAATAGTGTTTGTTAAACCAATAGTATTCCAATTAATACTGTAATAAATGTTTTATATAATTTTTGATTGCTTTTATTAGCCTAGACTATTCTTCAAAGTAATAATAGCTATCATGTTAGTTGTTTTAGATTATTTTTTTTTCAAATTCAAATATCAAAGAAATATTAAACATTTTTTTTTTGATTACGTAATTAATTTGTATCACGTGATATATATATATTTATTTAAAGTAATTATAATGCATTATATATCTGAATTCAACTAATTCAATTAATAGATTATTAATAAATAGAAAATCTCCTAATTCAAAAATGCTTTTGAATTTTATATATCTATTTCTAATTATTTGTTTATATTAACAACGAACCCAAATCATTTTATTAAATACATTTGTTAATTTAATAATAAAAATAGATCATTTGAGGTTCGAATCAAGAAACAAATAAAGAACTGCTAAATCATCAAGTATATATTGCTCTAACATAGTAATAAAATAAAATTTATATAAGCCAAAACCCAGATTTCTACAAATGCTCTATATTTATCCGTATCTGAGTGAACTAAATGAATATAAAAAATTGTAAATAAAATAAAATAATATGACTAAATTATTTAAACCAGCCATCCTACATATATAACATATTATATATGTTATATATTGGCACCCAAATTACTTAATTATAATTTTATGGTACACGAGAAAAAAAAAAAATCGCTAAAAGGAATGAACTGTTTACATAATTGTATATGTTGAAATGCTAAATGATAATTAAGCTTCTGCTTCTTCCTTTGGTTCAGTGGTTTCTTCTTCTTTTGGAGCTTCGGCTTTTTCAGCTAAGTAAAATATAAACAAACATAGTTGTTAACGACATACTATTATCAAATAATGATATATGTAAATAAAAAAGTTTATAAACGTACTCCCTTCCTGCATATCTGATGTCCAAAGTGTCAAATTATCTCTCAATAACTGCATAATTAATGTCGAGTCTTTGTAACTTTCTTCAGAAAGGGTATCTAATTCAGCAATAGCATCATCGAATGCTTGCTTGGCCAAATGACAAGCCTTATCAGGAGAATTCAAAATTTCATAATAAAAAACTGAAAAATTCAAGGCTAATCCCAATCGAATTGGATGGGTTGGAGCAAGTTCAGTAACTGCAACTTCACTAGCAGCTTTATACGCATCCAAGGATTTATCTGCAGATTGACTTCGTCTATCACCAGTAGCAAATTCCGCAAGATATCTGTGGTAATCCCCTTTCCTAAATGAAAATAACGTCATCATTAAACAATGATTTAATTATGAAGCGTATGCTAAATAATAAAAAAAAGTAAGAAAATTATTACAAACATTTTATGGTAAAATACTTTAGATTCACCGGTAGCAGCTGAAGGAATTAAATGATTATCCAGTACTTCCAAAATATCATCACATATTTTGGTCAATTCTTCTTCGATCTTTGAACGATATTCTTTGATGAAGCTAACTTGAGTCTCGTTTCCTTTAGACTCTTCTTTTTGTTCAATTGAAGAGACAATCCGCCAGGAAGCTCTTCGAGCTCCAATTACGTTTTTGTAGGCAACAGACAAGAGATTACGTTCCTCAACAGTTAGTTCTTGATCGGCAGAAGCGACTTGTTTCATGTTTTCGACCATTTCTATTACATATTGGTGATTTGATGAAATATTTTAGTCAATTTCTATATCTAAAATTTACTATAATCAATTTTTTGTTGATCATTATTGAAAATTCAAATCAAATCGAATCTCTTAAGTAAAATCTGATTATGAAAAAAAAATTTCCTCCATCTAATAAATAATCTGAACATTATAAAAAAAATTACGCTTAATTTTATATCGAACAAATTATTATTATTTTTCATTTTCTCCTTTTAAGAAACCATTCATCATAGATTAATTCCTCAAGCAGATGACCGTAAGCTAACTAATATACTTTCTTACTGAGTTTAGAATAACTTAATCTAGCATCATATAACTATAAGCTCAATAATTTCGAAAGAAATACACGTTCAATAGGTGAACAGAGATGATACCGGATGTTTAACTGGTTTCTCACCTTCATAACGTTCAGCCTGCTCAGCGAGCTTGGCAAGGTAAACGTAATCTTCGCGTGTTTGAGCTTCGACCATTTTGAATAAATACTAAATAAAATTTCGTATGAAATTTGCTTGGATATGATTGACAACAGTGATAAAGTTAAAGCTGAAATAAATAAATAAAGAGTTTAGCAAAAAAAGATTGCGAACCCTTTGTCTATCAAGTTAGATGGGAGTGACTAAAATAATACTGATCAAAGGCAACGTTTGGTAAGTTTGGTACGTCGCACTTGTGTTGCAATAAAAAAGAACTTTAATACAGAATTCAAATTTACATCATAGGTCACACACGCCGCAAAGTATCACACCACTTTTACCACCGTTGCACAGGCCGATCGCCGACCAACTTCCCTCACCTCGCATCTCGTTAATTACACGTAAATAATTCTGATTCATATTTACAGTATCCTTTTGGGGCGGGAAATTAAATGAGTCAAATAATGTAAGTTTATATTTGTTAAAAAATCAAATTAGTAAAATTTCATAATTAATAGTATATAATTTTATATTATTTGGATTGTTTATTGATGTTATTTACATTATTTATTTTTCTTTTACAAATAATAATTCTTATTATGTGATATATATCCAATAAAAATTTTATTTAATAACAAAAACTTTACTATATTTATTTTATAATTATTATCAAAAAAAGTAGGGAAATTAATTTATGTACTAAATTATAATATTATTTCTTACTCTTATTCCAATTAATTTAATATATACTGTAAAAAAATAATATTGTTATGTACTAATTTAATACTACTCATAATTACGTATTATATATATATTACTACTGTATTTTAGTTTATATTACTTATTCTGATCGTATATGACTCAGAAAACAATGACAAGATGCTGCGGAAATTATCTTCATAGAGCGTTATATCTACCCAAAAATGTATAATCATCTCGTGGGAAACGATTTTTAATAGGTTCAACTTTCAAAACAATAAAGAACCGGTTTGATATATTTATTTGAACAGTATAAAAACTACTTGTTATATCAAGTCAGGGGTGCATAATGGAAAAAAAAACCGGTTTTTCCTCATGATGATGAAAATCAGTCAACTTCATAAGCATCACAGTGGTTCGATCCATCAAATCATATTTCATTCCATTATCAATTTACTTGCTGATTTACTATTTGTATTTTTCCGTATATATAAATAATTATTTTAGAATTCCCAAAAATTTTTTCAAATTCCCCTTTGATCCCCCGACAACAGGAAACAATTGTAAAAAAAATTTTTTTTTTTTTTTTTTTTTTTTTTTTAAAAAAAAATGTCTCCAATAACACGTAGCAAGACAATTCCAATTCGATATCTCTATCCTGACTTTCCTAGTTTCCTAAACCTTGAAGTAGCTTATAATAAAGCACTTTCTCGTATTCAACAAGATGCCAAAGAAATGTTGGAAATGGTATTGGACGAACATGAAGTTAGAGTTCACTTATATAGTCCTAACGCGTCTCCAGAATATTGGTTGGTTAATAATAATGAAGCATTAGAAGAAGTTGTTTATTATAAAATGAGAACTAGGTTAGTTAATAAATATAGACAACAGTTTATGAATAAAGGAATTGATATTTCAAAATACGAAGAACCACAACAAAATGTACAAGAGTTATTTTCTCGTGATACACTTCCAGTAATGGATATTTGTGGATTCGCAAAAGAAGGTTATGAAAAATATAGTTTCTTTCACGAAGAAGAAGGAGCATCTTCATCAACTGCCTTTTATCAACAATCATCATCACCACCATCATCGCGTAATTTTAGTTTCTCATTTAAATTTGAGTCAAGTCAAACACTTCTTGGAGATTACACTGATACCGAAATTGATGATACTAGATCATCACCTTTAGTTCACCGTCATCACGGACGTACACAATTCATTAGTAATTTCTTGAGCGTAATTAATTTTCAATTACCTAATATTCAGCTGCCAATTAATTTATTAAGACGCGAAAGTTTTTATTTTATATTCATTGTTTTAATTTCATTTTTGATGTTTGGCTATTTGTTTGAACTTGACTTGAATAAATCTACACAAGTGCAACTACAAAAGAAGGTGACAAGAGGAAGGTTGAATGATACTGTTAGAGCACAAGTACAACAATTTATTGAACAGGAAATGTCACGTGTTTCAACATCACCTACTATAATTGGAAGAAAAGAATATATAGGAAAAGAAGTAGATAATAATGATGGTAGATTACTTGGATATGTTAGAACACAATTAAATGAAGTTCTTCAAGAACAATTAGAAAGAATGATGGAAGGTACAAGTACAGATTATGCATTGTATGCAAGCGGAGCAAAAATCATACCTAGATTAACATCACGTACTTATGAAATATGGCCAAGTAAGGTTATTCAACGTTTTTGGGGAAAATTAACACGTCGAAATGTTATTACTAGTAAAAAACCTGAAATCGTGATATCACCAAACATAAATGTTGGTGATTGTTGGTGTTTTAACGGTACACAAGGACAAATCGGGATAAAATTATCGAGGAACATTATAGTTACGCATGTTACTTATAGTCATATTGGAAAAGGAGTATCGATTGATCCAATTTCTTCAGCACCTCGTGAATTTGAATTGTGGGGTTTAGATGAAAAAAAAGATTTCAAAATATCCTTAGGAAAATATCAATATGATTTATATGGTCATCCTACACAATTGTTTAATGTAACCGATGAGATTGCAAAGAAGAATAATAAGAGAGTAAGTTCTGTTTTAATGAGAGTTTTGAATAACCACGAAAATCCTAAGTTTACATGTTTATATCGGCTTCAAATTCATGGTATCATGCCTAATTAATAATTGTTATATAATTATTATTATATACTAACAAATTATTACTCAAATCATTACGCTATATATTAGTCTATATTGCTTTATACAAATTATTATACTATACAAAAAAAAAAAAAAAAATTATTTTATATATTATACATCTTTTTTTTTATATACATATGATACATATATATATTTTTTTATTTATAAATAAAATAAATAAGTTTTAATCAAATAAAATCATTCACGTATGATCTCATTATTTCATAATAAATAGTTGATCAACGTTACATAACATATGCCTATTGCATTTTCCTATAAAAGGCCTGACAAATCGTTTTTTAAAGGGTTTCGTTAGTACATTTTAATATTTTAATATGACGACAGTTAGTAAGCAAGAAGTGTTAGTATTTGGGGAGATTCGACATGCAAAAAATCTTTTAGAAGAAATGAAAGGAAGATACGAGTTTAAGGTATTATTTATTATATATAAGAAAATAAAAAAAAAAATAAAACTTCATAATTTTTAATAATCAATAGGAATTTAATTCTACGAAAAATGACTTTCTGTTGGAAGGAAATACGAAATATGAGAATGTAGCTGCAATATTATTGGCTCACGGAGCAGATCAGGTGAATAATAATCTAAATGTAAAAAAAATAATATTTTTTTTACATATTTAACACACATATATATACTATATATACATTCCAGATCATAGATAAATTTGATACGGAAACGTTGGATGCTCTTTCACCAGCTGTCAATGCGATATTGGTAATTGGAGATGCATCAAAATTAGTTGATATTAATGCGGCCACAGGTAATGGTGTTTTTGTTGCTGATACATCAACTAAAACTCCGTCAACCGAAGGTAAGAAAAAGTTTTGAATTTCTTTAAAATTAGTAAATGACGAAGATAATGAAAATGGTAAAATATATATTTATCATTTCTATATTTTAATATATATATATATATTTTTAGATGAAATAGAAGCTGATATACTTGAAAATCTTGACTTTACATTAATCACGGGAGTACCAAAGAATCCGGTTAATGAAATTGATAAAGTAAAAGAAGCAGCAGCTGATAAAGCAACAAATATTGTAACTTCAGCTGGTGAAATTGACGAGTTAGATTATTCTGATCTTCAAATACAACTTTAAAATAATAATTATTTTATTTTATAATCTTATTATTATAATACAATTATACAAATTGTTATATTACTCATTAAAAGAATGTAAATTGTCATTTTTATAAATCCCAAAAATTATATATATTCCTGTTATTAAATGTCATTTAGTTAAACCGGTATAACTTTGTTTTTCGAATACCAATCTTTATCAATTAAGATAGAATCATCACTATTAATAGTAGGTAATGAAGATGAAGTGGTTGGACTTAAAACTCCTATTATTTTATCACTACTAAAAGTATCATTTCGTGACATAGAAGTTAACTGTAAATCCAAATTTGAAATATCAGAAATATCAATGTTATCATGTTTTGATAATCCTGTTAAACCATAATTTACATTTGAAGATAAAGAATAATTACTATCATCATGAGATCTAACATTGCTCATTCTTAAACGAGTTATACCTTGAACTACATTAATTGCTTTTTTAAAAGTTGATCTCGCTGGAAAATTTGTTCTAACGTTATTTAATAAATCAAAATTATCAACCGTATGAGCCATATGAAACCAAGGGTGTTTCAATGCTTCTTTAGCGGTAATCCTTTTATCAGCATCATAAGCTAACATTTTATCAATTAAATCTTGAGCATAATCACTAATATTTGACCAATATTCATCTTCAAAATGATAAACACCTTTTAAAATACTATCAAATAAAGATTGCTGGTCTTCACCCCAGAATGGAGTGTATCCACATAATAAAGTATACATTATAACACCGACACTCCAAATATCAACAGGTTTTCCATGACCAGTTTGTCTTAAAACTTCAGGTGCTACATAACCAGGAGTTCCACAAGCTGTCATTAATATATCATTATCATTTCTTAATATTTTTGATAATCCAAAATCTGTGATCATCAAATTTGAATTTTCAGATTTATCACTAAATAATAAATTTTCGGGTTTTAAATCACGATGGACGATTTCATGATCATGAAGATATTCTACACCTTTAAGAATTTGTTGTACTAAATTTGCGGCATCTTTTTCTGTATATGATCCTTTCAGAAGAAGTTGATAAAATAATTCTCCTCCACTAGCCAAATCTGTGATTATGTAAACAGCTTTATTTGTTTCAAATAAATCGTGAAGTGTAACAATGTGCGGATGATTAACTTTTTTGAGAACATCGAGTTCCGTGGTTAACATCTGTTCTTTTCCTATAAATAAATAAATAAATAAATAAATAAATAAATATATGAATGAAAATATGAATGAATCTAAACATACATATAATTTTAGATATTTACCTTTAATGTCTCTTGTGTTAATGATTTTCAAAGCATAATTAATTCCAGTACGTTTATCTGTACATTCTTTAACTACTCCAAATGATCCTGTACCAAGAATTTTTTTGGAGATTTTGTAATGTTTCTCCAAAGACCATGGATATGGTGGTTCTTTTGGAGCTTTAGATTCTACTTCGATTTTATGAAAAATGTTTTTGATTTTATGCATTACGAATCTAATAAAAAAAGTGAATAAAGTTGTAGATAATGTGTAAGTATTCTAATAGTCTAATAATATTCTAACAATCTAAAAATAATCTAAATCCAACAAATTTTAATTATTATATTTTTTTAATTTTAATTTTGTTTTTTTTTTTTGGTCAGAAGGAAAATGTTATCCTTTATATAATTTTTTTTTTGTATGCCGAGCAATATAATCCTTAAATATCTAAAATTAAATTAAATGCTGACCTTGTTCGGTTTTTTATGTACTTCGGAGTATTTCTATAGTATTTACGCATGTTTTGAAACTTGTTAGTGGTGGTTGAAAAATGAGGCGTTGTTGGATCATCGTCATGACGACGTTTATTAGAAAATAGAAAGTGGAATGAAATTCGATCATGCATAATTTTATTGGGTTTGGACAACATCTTTCTAGATTTTCAATGATTTACCAAAATGCTTGGTTTATGACGTATTTTTTGAGGGGGAAGAAAAAAAAAATAAATAAATAAACTATGAATTATAAAAAGAAAATCCAAAAAAATAAACAAATAAATGATTTTATGAATGAATGTGATTATAATAATAAAATTAAAAATAAAAATTAAAAATAAAAAAGGAAAGCAATAAAAAAAATAAAATAAATTATATATCATATATTATTATAATTATTACACTATATAAAATATTATACAATATATATCAAAAAATAAAATAACAGGAATATATAAAAAATTAACTATTTAATTTTATTTTTAAATTAAAAAGAACTTAATTTAAAAATAAAATTAAATTTTTGGGATTTTTTTTATGACAAAAATGACAAAGAAAAAAATGTGAACAAAAAACAAAAAAATAAAACCGAGTCCGCCACTTTTTATATGAAAAGGTCGTGCAATAAATAAATAAATCAATTGTTATTAAATCGATTGTAATTAATAATTATACATAATTCCTAAAAAGTAGTTCTCAAAGTTTTTTGATGTAAATGATCAGTCAGATGCCTATAAATGGATTAACTTATTTGTTAATATAATGAAGTCCGATTTCCGTCGAAGAACTGTTTAACTGTTTAATGGTTCCGTGTATCACGGAAAATCGTCATCAATTTTCTTGACTCATTCCGCCACGATTTAATGAAATGGATATTGCATACATAAACCAATAAAAAAACAGCCCATTCTGTGACATTATTTAAATTAAAATGTATATAAAATGAAAAGTTAACAAAAGTAAACGAGAGGAGTATTTTATGTGGGATGATACTCTTTTGTTATTAGTATTATTTTTCGGTTAATTTGCAATCATCATTATAAATAGCAAATGACTAAGCATATATAAAAATATTAGCAGCTTGGCGCAGTAAATAAAGTCCTATAATATTTCCTGAAATAAAGTTATTGATTTTTATAATTATTGGTAAAGCTCATCTTGCCTAAAAAATTTTAACTATATAAACTACTTAAATTTTATATTTTTTATATTAAAATTTATTTAATAAATTATTAATATTAAAAAATTAGGCATAATTATTAATAATTATATGCTAATTAAATTTAACAATACTTAATAAGATTATCTATTTGAATAATATAATTATTAATTTTACTTATAATATAGCTGAAAAGCCAATTCATGTCAACATATTTGTGCAATTATATATAAATTAAAACCTAAAGGTCTGGGAGGTCTAAAAGTAGAAATTAAAGTCGAAATGGTCGAAATTACGTCATATCAAAAATATAAAATTTATAACTTCGTGGCTATAGGATATGAGGAGTTCCTTAACGTACAGTGGTGTACGATATTAATGTACAAACTGGCCAGAGTTAACGTTACCATGTGCAAGAGCATAACTTCTAAACTCGGGCCAGTTCGTATGTTAACATCGTACACCCTCACTGTACGTTAAGGGCGCCCTAGATATGAAACACATCGTTAGTATCTTTTTGATGAGACGAATCAAATGTTTAAATCTTTTAAGTAAAAATAGCATGATCGATCATCCAATTTTGATTATTGGATGCCAAAATATCTCAAAATACTTTTATTTTTCTAGCGAGTACATTGATTTACTACGAAGAGAGCTAATACGAGGATTGTTATTAGTTCTACGGTGGTCATTATAATTAAAATAACTACTATGAAATGTTAGTAGTATAAGATTTTCGAGTGATCTTGTAACAAATTTGTAATTTTTATTCTTCCACTTAATTATAGAGTATGGGAAACAGGAATCTCTTAAAATAAGAATGCTACTCTTACATCTTAATTTATTGAAAGAATAGAAATTAAGGTTGATCGTAAGTCAAAAAGAAATTGTTTTAGTATTAACATAAAAGTAATTATTGCCTTTGTTATATTCTGAAACTCTAATATATATTGTATTAGGCATACAGATATTAACTTTTTAATCTTGTATCAATATAAGTAATTCTATTATATGTATACAACAAGTAATTTTTTAATGCTCAGGAGTTTAAGATCTACGACGTTTAGTTTGACGGCTTCTTAAAACAACTTCTTCGTTATTCTAAATTAGTGAGAGAGTTATTTATTTATTTATTTAATGAAACTTTTTTGAAGAATTAAAATACCTACATCTTCGCCTTCAATTTCCTCAACTTCTTCCTGACTCGTAGGCTGTACCAAATAAAATCATTTTAATAGTTTTAATCAAAATTTGTATAATTTTCCAAAGTACAAAGATACCTACCTTCGAATTTTTATCGTTCTCATCCATCAAATCCGTTTTTATTTTAAAATCTCGATTAGTAGCTCTTTTAATATACTGCGTCAAATCAACCTATATTTCGTAAATTAATGGCATTTAATTTTGTATTTGTATCTTTTATAAATATCAATTTTGTTTAAAACTTTTCTTTCTTACTTTAGACTTCTTCGTTAGTTGAATTAAATAACGTTCATATTGTTCTAAGAGGAAAATTAAATCGGGTATTATCTTGGATTCCCTAGCGATTCGTGCCTATCAGTTCATTTTGATTATTAGTATTCGATATATTTAAATAATGTCATAACTTCAGCTTACCTTTTGCGTTGTTGGTTTAGTCTTAGGCTTACGCTTTTTACCTAATTGTATCCGGTTTATTTCTGGTTTTGAACCAAATGCTAAAAGTAAACTGTATAAGTTTTCTGTCAATTTCAACCCGGTTAATTCTATCAGGTCTATGAAATGTTTGAGAATCTCGCCTCCCTCAGCAATTTTCTAAGATTAAAAAAAAAAAAATAACATCCATTAATTAAAAAGAAAATGTAATTAAATGTATTATAAACACTTACATATTTAATTAATGCTATCATGACTTTATAAGTTTTCTGTAGACATTTAATTAATTGTTCAGAAGACGAGTCTTGGAGTGATGTTTGTTCCATATATATCATAGTGTTTATTATTGTAGTTAATCTTGAGCATATTATTTGTTCAACATCTGTCATGTTAACTTTCTCACGATTAAGATCTTTATCTGTTATGGAGAAATCAAATTCATCAATAATATTGTTATTATTATCTAAACCATGATAAATCCATGATAAATGTCTAAACTACCTTTTACGCTGCATATCAACTTCATTCGGGTCAAGAACCATTCTATTTCTTCATACATATTTTCTATAGACCCTATTAAGATGTTGCATATTATACCACTAGTTCTCGGATTGACGATAACGAAATTAGGATTCACTTCATTTCCGTCTGCATTGCCATTGATATCACCTAACACAGACAACATATCATGAGCTATTTCTGCGCTAGTCTCAAAGTCCGGCATATCCTTCTCCAATTTTATTAAAAGACTAATAATATTTTTGGCAAGAATAGTGTCTTCGATAACACGTTCTTTACATAATGCTCTAAGCCAAGTAACCAATTGTTCCAAATGCCCATGCGATTCAGAAATATCAATCGAATCAGTGAAATGAGATGATAATAAAGTTATTGTTTGAAATAATCCCAATGCTTCCTTTATATGAGGAATTCTTTCACTAAGTGAAATGATGAATAATTGCTACAAAATGTATATAATAAGTGCATAAGAAATCATGATATTTAGTCTATTAAATATATATCAAGTAAGTCTACCTCAAATTCTCGAATATATAAATCTAGCCATCCATTTAAATCATTTGGAATTACTTCATTTGCAAGCTCGGGTGGATAAGATAGAGCTAAGAAGTCAATTAACTTGTCTGGCCAACAAAACGACACTGCTTGGATTAATAACGCTAAGCTCTCAATTGCAATTGTAAAAACGGATTTCCCCTGGTATAATTTTATATATTAGACACATTATGTTACTATTTCAAGTTTAAAAGAATGCACTAAAATATTTGTTACCCTATCCTTCTTGCTATTATTATCTTGACGTGTAGCAACGCTTGCTTTGTTGCTTTTAATAAATTCATTCATAAACACTTGTGCTAAGGACGTACAATAACCAAATGTTTTTTCATCTTCGGGATTAAAGTTCGACATTATCTTAACAAGAGAAATGAAGTTATATTAATAATTAGTACTTTTGTGTAAATTCATTTGAGTCATACCTGAGATATTTTGTTATGAGCTACCGCAGTAATATATTTTACAAATCCTGCATCGGCCCTCAATACAGAATTTGTAGCATCAATCTCCGTATCATCAATATCTTGGAGAGTGAATTTACAAAGTTCAGTAATACATTTGAAGCTTAAGATCGAGTTCTCTGTAATAGAAGTTACTGTCTTACGGCCTGTATATCAAAACAAACATAATTCTTAGATGCAATTTAGTGTTCACACAATTTAACCATAAGGACATCGTAAAATAACCTCGAGCGTTTGCTGATTTCTCTTTTAGAACTTCAAATAACGCCGTATATCTTTTGAATAACCTTAAAATAATCTCTGATGATTGTGAAGTGTGTTCAGAGGCCAAAAAGGTATGCTCGATAGCCGCCTATTATTTTAAAAGCAATGTGCATCAGTCCATAAAAGTAAATATACCAACTTGTATTTAGCTAAATTACTACCTCATACATTCCAAGTAGAATAGAGGCACACATATTATTACGACTACCCTCTTTGGAACTCATCCTGAAATCAGCATTCGGATAAATCATGAATTCAGACATGTCTGAATGTATTAATTGCTCGATCAATGTTTTCAATTTCATTTTACTTTCTTCAAGTTGAGCCCCATTAAACTTGGAATTTCCTAAATTAAACGCGACCTAAAATTGTAACCAATTGATCGCATCTTGATCTTAAACAGTTCAAGCGTCTCACCTTCATTGCCCTCGATGGTTTTATTAAAAGTGGCAATCGATTTGCTTAAACAAGCCAATAAATAAGGTAAAGGCTCAAGAATATGTGGTTCACCATTTGAAGTTTCTATACAATTTTCGATGTGAAATGTCGCATACAGTGATGATCTCAATTCAAAAAATTTTTGGAACTAAAAAAAAAAAGAAAATTTTAAAACCACGATAACAATTTGGAAAAAAAATTTCAAAATAAAGCAAGTTCCCATACATGCGAGTATAAAATGTCAAAGATTATCGGGAATATTGGGTTATCACATTGATGAATATCCATCAATTCTAGCAAACCTTCATATAAAGAAAGCCTAAGTTGTGGTTGTTGACTAAAACACTTGCGTAGATTACCTATAATTCGATAATAATGTTAACTACATTTAGCAAGTAGAAAGCGAGACAATATTACCTATGATTTCAAAAGAAAGGGCGGTCCGATTATCACTGAGTATTACATCAGACGACATTTGAGACCTTGGACATATTTCGCGATTATGTATCGCTTGCATTTTCAACAGTCTCAAATATCCGATCAACGCAATTTGACGCCCTTCCAATTCTCTTTAATTATAATCAGAAATTATGTGATTTATAGAGTCATTAAAAAAAGAAATTGAATTATTAATAAGCCCATACTTCGTAAATAAACCTTTTCGTAGAATAACCATTAGTCCATCACGAAGTGATTGGTTTGTATAAAGTAGTGGCTGTATTGCTTTCAATAGATTATCAGCTGTTGTGACGGATAAAAATGTTAAATATTCGAGTGTCCCTTTGATCTACAAATTTTCTATTAATTTTCTTTTGTAAAGCTAGAGCAATTTCGGAAAATAATTTTTAATACAAACCCTGGCAATATAGTTATAAATAAATTCGGGGGTCTCTTTTACAATCAATTCCAATAAACCCAGAAAATACTCAACACTTGATGATTTAGAAATAATTCGAGACTGAATCTGGTCTAATATTTCTGCACGGACCATATCATGAATCTAAATAAATTATTAGATTGAGAAATTGATTCTTTGTAAAAATTCTTAACTCATTCATGTCACCTTACTTTGAACATTTCTAGTAAAATTTTTGTTCCTAAATCTTTAACCATACTTGTCGTAGTTGACATTCCCTTTTTGCTCCTTGTTGTATCTTGAAACCACTTAATTAGTAAATTCTATTGTCATAACAAAATCATCATGTACACTGTATTCTCACCAGAAGGAACTGCTAAATCCATCAAAATAATTCCTAATTGTACCAAACTTTGTGTGACCTGATCCCATCCAAACGATGTCTTTCGTATTATATTTTGGAAAAGGTCAATTAATGGTAATGAAGAAATGATTTCTGAAATATCGACTTCTAGAAGATGGAAGGACATAAAAGTCAAGATATAACTTTCATTTATGAAGTTATTGAATATTTCACATACTGGTTATCCATTTTGTCTTTTCCAACTTTTCCATATCTTTAAAAACCGTTAATATTGACGTCTTGAGAAAATCAAGAGCCTTTATAAAATGTGAATTAATGATTGTAAGTTTGATCAAAATTTCAATTAAGAATACCATACCTGGTCTTCAAATCGATGTATCCTCGCAATTGACAACAAACAAGCGATGCTAAATGATTTCAAGGATGAAGTTTTACCCGATTTCATATATTTAATGAATTCATTCCCTAATTCCTGTTAGATTATGTAATTAAGACTATCAAAAAATGAAAAATTAAACCAACAAAATATTGATTTAAAGTTGAAATCAACCTGATCCTGAGTAATCGCGAAACAAATATGGATAATTACTGTGCCTTCCATGTGGCTCAATTGCGAAAATGATAACTTATCGACGGAATTGTTATTTTTATATTCACTAAAATTCCAAAATATTGAAAATTTTTAAATATATTAAAACATCATCAATTTATCTTATACTAACTTTGTATCGTCATCTTGATTACAATTTATTTCATCATCTAGTCTGTTAAAAAATTCTGTAATTCCTTGCAAGATTAAACGTTTTTGTCCCTAAAGAGAATTTTCTCTGTCAAAGCAAGTCAAAACAATTGCAACATTTTCGTTCACTAATGATCAAAAAAAAATCAACCTTTCTAGAAAGTAATAGCATCTGATAAATAAGAGGGGGAACTCCATTGATGTCCATCGCATCAAAATGACTAATTTGAGATAAAGATGTTAAAAAAGCATTTCAAACGTAGATAAAGTAATAAATTAATGATACAGATTACCTCATAATTTTTTCTACCGCAAAATTTAACTTAATTCGGCAAAATTTAAATATTTTAACAAATAAGATTTTAAATTATTAACCCAAATAGAAACTTCCATACCTGCTCATTAGACATTGTAATATCACGAAATTCTCCGGCCAAACTTAGGACATTATTTGCGTGCCATTTAGTATTGCATAATTTATTTAGCACGTAATTTTTATAATCTTGACCGGACATAGAATGACCAGTTGAATTTTGACCGGAAGGTAATGTCACTACTTCATTACAAGAATCAAAGGCGGATAATAATGCTGGTAAGAATGAAAATAACTTTCCATGCAAGGAATTCCCGCGTTGGATAGCATGTATAATACATGTAGTGATCTCTACAAAAACTCCAATCATTACGGGGGAATCAGTGGTACCAACAGCGATCTTTAATTTTCAAATATATTGTTTTATTTAATAAATTTAGAATTCGAAAGAATAACGTCATTTTCAAGATTTACCTCGTTAACACATATTCCTACTAAATCTGATATTACTTTATCAAAAAAAGACGAAGTGTCACATCCTTTTTCAATTAACCTTTTGAATAGAAGCATTATGGTTAACGTTATTTCGATAGTCAGTTCTGTAATAATTGCTTTGCGTACCATCTAACAATTTCATGAATAATTGTGCCACGTTTTCCGTTCCTATCCTCAAGAGCATTTTTCTCACTTTTTATATCATCTATTGCTAAAGCTATAGGTTTTTTTTTAATAATTTGCCAAGAAAACGTACACTTTCAAAATATCAAAACATTCCGTTGGCCTTACCTTTAAAAAGTGCACATACTATTGCGAAACATCCCGTAACATTTTCGTTATAGAACTTTGAATCATCTTTTAATATATTTATCACTAACTTTTTTATCTGAAATACACGTTTTTATTATAAAAAGTTGCAAATTTTGATAACAGCGATTTTTTATTATACTACTACATTACGCGTACTTCTTGTAAGTCAACGGTATCAAGAAATAGACCAAGTTCTTTTATTTCCTTTCTAGCAATATAATCAACGATTCTTGCTTCCATATTAAAAAATCTTGCGACTTGTAAGGATGCAGAATAGACTGAGACTAAAATATTAGTACTTTATTTATAACAAAGTAGATCAAATCGCGTTACGACATACCCGTAGTTAATGGCGCAGCATTGATAAGCGAGCGAGCTCGTGACTTTGTAATACTTAACGGAAATTTAAGAAATTACAATTTTTATAATGTACTACTTTCAAAAAGAAATTGTCAATTTTATCCTGTTTTTTATTTTTTTTATTTATTTTATTTTTAAATGCCAATAAACACTGTTCGAATCAGCACCTATAATCGTTACAATTTAAAACTATTAATCATATATCATTTTTATTATAGAATTTTGTAAATTTAAACTTGCAAAAAAGGTCCTGCATATAGCAAGTAGTAAAGTACAAAAAGAAAAAAGTAATATAAGAATAAACAATTTTGAAAAAATATTAAATTAATCTTTATTTAATCAATCAAAAATACTATTAATATAATTTTCTTTATAAATATTAATTTACTTACCTGTTGTTCATCTTTCATATCTAAAGTATTTATTTCTTTATTCTTCTGTCATTTTTCTAATAATCATGTTAAAGCAGAATCATAATATTCCAAGTTCTAAAGACTACAATCACATTTTTTTCCAAATTAGTTAATTGGGTAATATTCTAATAATAATTAGTATTTGACATAAATATGTATTTGTTAATTTAAATAGAATGTATGTGAATAATATCATCTTCTGATCTTTACAATTAACTTGATTCAATAATAACTAGCTACCAGTCCTGTTGTCAAGAACCTGCTGTTATATAAGATAAAGTCAACCATATTAAATATATTTGCGCCAAAATTTTAGAGCAAACCATTGTCCGACTGTATTATGATGAACTATAAATGAATGGAAATATCATCACAAGAAATAATCTGGCACCGTTTTTTTTGCTGGCAAACCACGAATTTCCTAAAGTATGAAAACAAAAATCAAAAATATGTTCAAGACTTTTAAACATTAAAATTGTAAAAATATATTGGTCATACTTGTGCTGCTGCATCGAAAATTTTATAATTTTTATTTAATTTATCATCTAATTCAAGAATTGCTGCTACATTTCCACATCTAGAAAATATTAAGAATATTATTACAAATAAAAAGATAGTTTTGTAACCTAAAATTAAATCTTACCTATAGCAATAATTTGGTGCAGACCATACAGTTACTATTGTGTCATCGAACATTAATTTGTAACCTTCCATTACCAATTGGTGGGCACGCGCTATAAGCTCTAAATCATTGGTATGTAAAAACTATAAAAAATGATTTTACCGCATGCTAGACGGAATAAGAATCGATTAAGAAAAAAAAATGAATACTTGATATTCTAGATTAAGATGATCTTACCCCACTAACAATTTCACTTCCAAACAAATAACCCGCTCCTCGAGGACTTAAACCCCAACTGTCAATATCTGAATTCAATAGGTAGATTTAGTATATTATTTATAACTTTATTATTGCTATTTAAAATTGTAGTCAATTACCGTCTGGATCAGACCATAGAAGATCGCACATAGCTCCATCATGTGGAACTTCCTGCTTCCTATCAATCATACGAATCTATAATTTAAACCACAAAAAAAGATTTTTAACACATATTACATAATATGTAATTTTCTCAAATAAATAATTTTATAAAGAGATATAAATACTTGATCCAATGTAGTGATGGATGGCGACAATCCACCATGTACACAAAATATCTTATCTTCAATAATTGCGGATAAACTCATGTAGTCAAAAATTTCACAGCAATGTCGCCATACATTAATCGAACCATATTTTCGAAGACATTCATCGTAAAATCCGTATACTTGTGTGATTTGTCGTGATTCATGATTACCACGTATCAGAGTAATTCTATCAGGGTATCTTACCTAATTTATTTAGAAACGTATTAGCATAACAGACCATTAAATTTTAAAAAATCAAATTATTTCAAAAAAAAAAACCTTGAGTGCAAGAAGCAGCAGGAATGTTTCTACACTATAAAAACCACGATCTACAAAATCACCTACACCACAAAAAGTGGAATTAACAATATTAACAATTCAAAGTTCGGATTCAAATAAAGTAAATAATTTAATTACCTAAAAATAGGTAATTCGTATCTGGACAATCTCCCCCGACTTTGAATAATTCCTTTAGATCAAAAAATTGTCCATGTATATCGCCACATATCTGAACAGTTAAGAACTGTTAAACAAGAAACAGGGTAAGATGCAAACATTAAGTAGAAACGACTTCAACATACTGTTACTGGCGCGTCAACTCTTTGTACATTACTCTCTTCTATCAGAATTTCTTTAGCTTTTCGACAAAGTTCCCTGACTTCAAGTTCCGAAATGAGTTCGCAATTTCTTAACTTTTCGATTTGCCTAATAAAATGAATTTACTTTAAAACGACAATCAAACTAGCATTAGGACCAAACTATTCTGACCTATCAAGATCACTTTGCCCCATAGCAAATCGTTTGAGGCAAGGAAAGGGAGTTCTTTTTGAACTCAATTATTTAGAAAATTTCGTGATTTTTTGTACGATTGTGCCACATCGTAACATCAATGTTCCACAGTAAAAATTGGATTAGATCATGAAATAATATAATTAATTTTAATTGGTTGAAATATTTTAAATCAAGTGCATTAATGATTTTGTTTTGTTATTTATTATTAACCCATCATTAATTTACGTATCCCACACTTAAGGTTCTTACAAAATTTTTATAATATATATGAAGAAGAAGTTGACCTTACACCATCAAAAATTACTGTGTTATTCATAGGAATATATTGTTTAGTGACGAGTTTGATGACTTCTTGTGATACCATGCCCCCAAGTAAAGAAGCAATATTTGCCAATTCTGAACTTCCAGCTCGGCAACTAACAAAGTATAAAGCATATGTCGATTAACGTCTTGGAGATCAATGAAGCAATAAAAAATAATTAGCATTTATACTTACATTTCATGAATATGATTATCTAAATGTTCTGGATAATTTGTTATTTCCCACTCTCTCAATAAATTATCAACGTAAGTTTTTAAAGTATTAAATTCGTTTTTTGCTTCCTCGCTTACTTCTTCGGTATCATCTTCAAGGAAATAAGTTGCGGCATCTATAAAATTATTAAATAATAAGGATAAGGATTATAATTATATATTGAAGATTATAAGTATACAAATGTAAATACCAGGATAACGATTGTGAGATTCATAAAATCGATCCATTGCTCGAATAAGAACATAATGAACAATATTTGCTTGAGGATCTTGTAACCATCGACCTATTAATTTCAAAGATATGAATGTCGTATAATTATTAACTAGAAGATATTAGTTTATATTAAATTACCGATATCGAGTTTCTTCGGTTCAGTTATGTATTCCTCCTGTAGTGATCTGTATCGAATAACTTGAATGAAGGATGCATGCTTGCAAAAACTATCTATTTCGTCGTCGGAAATGAATTCAGCTGGTCGTCCAATAGAATTCAAGATATCATGAACACGCGTACGAACAGCAGATATGTCCTCTTTAGCTTTCTGACGATAGCTAAAGAAAAATTAAGTAATTAAGCAGTTAAGTTATCATATTTTTTATTAGTGACTATACAACAAGATCAAAATTTTTCATACATGTTTTGCATTGCAACATAATTAGAAGTGTCAGCCTTCATATCTGGTACATTTCCAGCGAGCGGAAGTAAACCTAGACCTTCATTTGATACAAAATCACGAACAGCTCGAGCAATAATCCAGAAATTTGATGACTAAACAGCAAAAAATAAGTGATTAATGTAAAGTAGTAAATTTATGTATCATACGCTCATATCATACCTCGATCGTTATGCTATCACATGACGAATTCTTAAAGATTTCCTCGACATGATGAGGCACCTTAGTAGCTGCACAAGCTTTCCATACACTTGCCAATGCTTCATCAAAGTTTTCCTCATCAACATTGCGTCTACCACTTTGAACAAGCTGTTTGAATTCGTTCCTTTCTGCAGAAGTACTAGGTAATTTGCCATCGTGCTTTTTTTTATAACAATAAATTAATAGGCTATACATCATTACATCATTAACTTTCAACTTAACGAATTCTATAAGTATTTACGTCTTGTTTCCATTGTTTCAGATATTTCAAAAGTATTACTACATAGGGAACATGCGCATGATCCATACTATCTAAGGTTTCAAAATTAAATGTATTCACATACTGCTCAAGAGCTGGAAAAGGAACATCTAATCGTAGATCAATAACGTTTTCCGGGTGCGTCTCCACAACTAAAATAAAAATATGAATATTTATAAATTTACTTAAGGAAAAATTTATACAATTTTTGCAAATTCAATCTTACCGGTATGTTCTGGTAAAACGATACGAAAATATCCTATAAAACCAATAGTGCGTACAATAACAAGAGGAATTTTTGCATTCCATAGAGTATCTGCTAACTTGAGTAAAGGTTTTTCGGGAAGATCCGTAGTGATCACAATGGAAAATTGCAAGAAATACTCTGGTTGATTTTCAATTAGAGCAACCGGATCCTATAGATAATAAATTATATCAGTCACGTGTTAAAAGAATGATTGATCAGGGAATTAAAATCATACCTCAGAAAAATGAAACCCTTTTGCGTCTTCATTTAGCTCTTGCAAAAACTCTGTAACCGCTTGAGCTCTATTCGTGCCTATACTGTCAGAAACCAAGAAAAATGTGTTCCCAACGTCAGAGCCTTCAACAATTTTTCCGTCTACCACAGTGAAAGATCCTATACCTAATGACAGTTCCGATAATTAAAAGCGTATAATGTTTGATAATAGTAATGTCTAGATACTCACCAGGCAAAACCAAGTCCTTTAGAATTTCGCAGCCTGTTGCTGTACCATTAATGAGGCATACTTTGGCAGTCTCTAGTGCTGTCTGACCACTTGCCTGCCACAAGCTATTTGTTATGAATAACGATTATTTACCACTAATAACTTCGATATTTACCCCTTCTTACTGAATTAAATACTTACCGAAGTTGACGGTCATATTTTTGAGTTTTTTTGTCAATAATCATTTTCGTTAAAATAAAAAAAAAAGTCAAAATAAATTACTGTTGATTAGTACGTAGAGTATGTGAGTAATGTTAAGTCACATGTCTTACAAAATATGGATCTTTTGATAGAACTCAAAAATGTGTTGTACCTTACAAACAATATACCCCCGTATAACGTATTTTCTGCAAAATTGTCGCTCCACGTGATCTCATAATTTATTATAACAAAAAAATCAAAAGAATATTTAGAAACTTATCTAAAGGGTTAGCACTTTGTTTTGTACACTGCTCTGTTCTTGTCGTTATATTAAAAATAAAAATAAAAGTAAAAAATTTAGAAACTTATCTAATGTATAAAAGTTAAACATAATCTTTTTTACTTTTTACTTAGTAAAAGATATTAATATTGGCTTATCTTAATCTTATTTCAATCATTTTGATACATTCAAACGTATCCTGTACCTGTATTTACTTTTCAAAGATTTTTATCGTGCAAATGATGACTTAATTCATCTAATGTAATTTTTATTAATTTCGTAATTTTGACATTTCGAATTTTTCTATTTATTGCTTGGCATTAATTCCAGCCAGACTTACATATTTAAATTGTTGATTTTACGGGTCTCTGGTTGTGATACAATGATACATCTGCTATTCTGCTTCACATGTTAGACATATTTGTAAACCATTGAATAAATAAAATAAGCGCGTTTTTGACATGCATTCTTCAGCTAAAGGACAAACGAAAACCAGCCAACAGGTATTATGCTCCTCGGTTATCTATTAAACTAAAAAATTATTATTACTAACCGATACCTATATAGGAAGTTGTTTCAAAAGAATGGAAACTCGAACCCGAACATGAGTTTCGATTTGAGGTGGATTTTGGAACTACGGTGAATTTGAAGGTAAGACAAAGAAGAAACTTGTACTCTATGCTAGTTATTTATCGTCAGCTTTAGAAAGCTTTTATATTGAGTTTTTGAAATTTATGTTACACACTTTAGTTGATTATGAAAAGTATCAATGAGTAAAAAATATAATAAACAAATCGATTAAATTAATTATAAAATTTCATCTTAGTTGATCTCTGGTACGGCAGAAATATTTGGTACAGAAATTGGAATAGGTCATGAATATGAATTTTCAGGTCGCAAAATTGCACTTTTTACCTGGCATGGCTGCACAATTGAGATATCCTCTATTATTTAATTTAGTTTTATGGAAAATATGATGTATCATCCTTAGCATGAATATTTAACACATTAAAGGAACATGTAGTGTTGAATATGTTGCTAATGAAACTCCTATGACAAGTTACCTCAATATGCATATCGCACTCGAACAATGTAGAGAAGCAGCCAAATCAAAAGATGAACAGGGACCAAAAGTAAGCATTGAGTAATATAATAATAATCTCGCTTTTATATTGTTATTAATTATAATGATTCTTTAGGTTATGATTGTGGGTCCTGAAGACGTAGGGAAAACGTCGTTAAGTAAATTATTGCTTAGCTATGCAATACGTCATGGTAGACAACCTTTATTTATTAATCTGGATAGCAATGAGGCAAGTCGATTGTACGTAATTTTCCATATTACCCAGTGCTTTTTGTTGATATATCATTAATTTCCTAGGGTTCAATTACAATGCCGGGTACCTTAACTGCGACGCCAATAAATCATATTATAGATGTGGAAGAAGGTTTTGGTTCGTCGGCAACAACTGCACCATCATTTAGTTCTTCTTTTATGCCAATGGTTTTTTATTACGGATATCCGGATCCTAGCGAGAATGTAAAACTATACAAGGTACTGACAAAAAAATTGGCCGATAATGTTTCAAGACGTTTGGTTGAGGATGAAGTTGGTAAATTATTTTAATTTCTTTCGAAATAATGTTTTTTTTTAATTAAATCCTTGTCTTTTTTCCTGTAGCTAGAGTTTCAGGAATCGTGATTGATACAGGTGGGCTTGTTGATAGCACAGGCTATGAGATCATACAACATTGTGTAGATATATTTAATGGTAATATATATTAGCAATCATGATTTTGATATATATATATGCATTATTTCATTGTTGTGATTTTTATTTCTAACGTTATTGAATTGTTAAGTAAATATCATAATTGTACTTGGTCACGAACGATTGTATAGTGATATGGCAAGATTATATAAGGAGCGTAATGATGTCAATGTAGTGAAATTATCAAAGTCAGGAGGAGTAAGTAAATAAAGAATTAAATTTTAAATAAATATGATCGATATTAACGGTGATTTTTCGTAATTTGCAGGTGGTCAATAGAGATAATGCATTTCGTAGACAAGCACAAATGCGCAAAATTCGGGAATATTTTTATGGATTGCCAAAATTTGAATTATCTCCCTGTTCAACTTTAATTAACTTAAATGATATTTCCATTTATCGTGTTGGAGTTGGTGATTAAATAATTTTAGCACATATTATAGCTTTCATTTTTATATTGTAATTCTCAAACTTTGTCTCTTGATAAACAGGTTCATTGGCACCTTCTTCTGCGCTTCCAATTGGAATTGACAGAAAAGTTAGTGAAACTCAACTGGTAAAAGTTGAACCGGATGATACGTTGTTACATTCCATTTTGGCAATTAGTACTGCCAATAACTCAGATGAACAGTCTTTACTTGTATCAACAGTTATTGGATTCATTTATGTGTAAATATGATTGATTTGTTTTTTTAATCAAATTATTATTATTAATTAATATTTATTTTACAGATCTCACGTTGATATAAGCAAGCAGAAAATGACAATACTATCACCATCACCAGGTCGGCTCCCAAAACAATATTTGATCATGGGATCATATAAGTGGATGGAAAGTTAAACAGTAGGGTGAACTAATTTTAAATTAGGTTCAAAAATTAAGTTAGATAATCAAATTTAAACTGGTTCATATCAGTACTATTTTTCAAACTAGATTTTATTTAAACTGAAATGATCAGTTCGGGGTTTTCAAACTTTCATGATTCTTATTTTAGTTAAATCTATGACTTTGCGTAGAATTATATAATTCTTCGCTACGCTACAGATTAATTATCTCTATTAGGATAAGATGGATAATTTAGAAATATTTATGTATTATGTAAATATAATTTCTTTAATAAATCACACCACTCCCTTTGAAAGTAAATTTTTAAAGTTTAGTATTAATTATACTAAAAACAAATTAATAGATTTAATAATTTTAGCAGTTTTAGTTTATGTACTTTTTACTTTTTTAGCATTTAAGTTTTATCAAATTTAATTTGTGATTCAGATAAGAAGGAGTGAGCTATTAAGCAATTTTCAAATGTGCATATCCTACATAGGTAAATCAACCAAATTATTTGAAATTTTTACTGAAAGAACTTTAAGATTGGCTCTATCTTATGCATATATTTAAAATAATCTTTATAAAGTTCAAGGTTTTGTAATTAATTTTTAAAGATTACCAATTAGTGAAATTTCTAGTAAAAACACATACACATGTACAATTTCTGTCTAGTAAGCAACAACTATGAGTTACCAAATTATAAATACATACTTTTGAATATATATTAATTAATTTGTAATGTTTTTTGAAGAATTTCCAGTTTTTTGATTAGTAATTTAGCTTTATAACATTACTTAAAATTATTTTATGCTGATAATATAAAACAAATTCTTTAAGAGTAAGTTTAAATTCTAGGATAATAATAGGTTTATGATGTTTTGCTTTTAAATTTGCGACTTTTATGATAAGTCATTTCTTTTTACTTTGCAAGGTTTTTGTAATTGTAGATTTATTAACAGACTTCCCACTTTTGTTTAATTCAATGTACATACTAACTACTGAGTTCAAGTTTTCTTGTTATCATGAGCATAAAAACAAAGCTTATAATATTATTTTTGAATATCTGATAAGAAAATATTTTTTTAGGTATAGTGAGAATGTAAATGTTAATCAAACTGTGTATACTGAACATTATTCTATATATTTAAAAATTTTGGAAGGTTCAGAAAGTCATATATGTACATTTATGGAAAATAAGGCAATATAATTGTACTAAAAAATTATTGCATGTGTAAAGTACGAAGAGTATATAATTAGCATTATGTCTCAAAGTTGGAATTGAACTAAAGAATGCAATTATGAAGGATATGCAATTATAGAGAGTAAATTATAGAGAGTTGATTGTAGTTTTAACATTTTAACAATTTTGATATATTGAAACTATTTTAGCATTTCAGTATTTTGACATATTTTAATTTTGACATTAAAACATTAGCCTATTAATTGAGTTTTGGCTGGTAATTTTAGATTGGCTCTATTTTACACATATCTCTAAAATAATCTTTATAAAGCTTAAAATTTTAAAATAAACTTTTAAAACAAGAATAATATGAAACCAAAAAAAATTGAAAAAATTAAAATCTTAAAATTTGAAAAAAAATGCTTTATATATGTTTAGAATATGTCTTTTTAGGGAGGTGCAAACTATTTTTAAAATCCAAAAGTCCATATTTATAGAATTATTTAATTTAAAAAGTAAAATTTTCATGATTTTTACAACAATGTTGATTTGTATTAATTCATTATTCAGTGATTATAGAAGGATAAAATATAGTTTATTAGAATTATCTTAATGAGATGCAACAAATGGTACTATATTTATATATTTCTATAGAATTAATAGATAACCTGTTATCCAAAAAAGTTCTAAAACAATAACTTTTTATTTGTTAATACTAGAAATATGAATTTATTACCATTAGATGCGTCTCAATAAGACAAATCTAACAAACCATATTTCATTTTTTTATAATCACTGGATGTAAAAATAATTTAAATTTTGTAAAATTTTCAAGTTTTAAAAGATGATCTTAAAGTCCATTTAGTTTCTAATCTAAAATAAGAGATACTTTATTTTTTTTTATATTACTTTTTTGAATAATCAAATATTTTTTTAATAATTTATATTTAATAATTTATTATAATATTTATTCAATTACTATTTTATTATTTATTTATAGTTTTCCAATAAATAGTTCTAAAAATTTAAGAAATATAATAGTATTTATCAAGTAAAGCTTCATGAAAAGGCAAATTCTGCTGATAAAAATAATATTAATGAAGCTTTACCTTTATATATTATAAAGTAAAATATGCAGAATATTCTTCTAATTGTACAATATGAATAAGACAGGGCTTTTTTATCAATAGGTATTTAATATTTATATATTATACCTGTAATCTATTCTCATTATTAATAACTAATACATATTCTTTTAGATGAATATTAGCTACAAAGTGGCTTTTTAAATATAAAAAAAGTAAGAAACAGCTATCAGTTGCTTTATGTACAAATGCTAATAGATCTTATAAGCTGCCTTTTTTAATAATTGATAAATATGCAAATCTACAATGCTTTAAAAATATTAATATTGGCAATTTGCCAATATTCTACCAGTATAATACTAAAACTTGGATATTAGCAATCATTTTTTAAGAGTAACTCTAGGAATTTGATTATCAAGTTGGTAATAAACAACATGTTTTACTGCTTCTTAATAATTATACAAACTATAAAATAAATAATTTAGTTCTTAAAAATATTAAAGTTTATTTTTTGCCATCTAATATGACTTCAAAACTTCAACTAATAGATCCTGAAATAATTATATCTTTTAAAAAGTATTATTAGCATTATCATATTTAGTAAGTTGAATTTTTTCAAATCTTTTATTATTTTATTATATTGCAAATTTAATATACATATTTTATTTTAGATGGATATTAAAATAAGTTAAAGTAGGTCAACTTATATAGGATATCATCAAAAATTATTAAAATTATATTAAAATCCTTTCAAATATTATTCTTAGAGTTAATATCTACAAAAAAAAAAAAAATACAATGTTTTCTAATCCCTTATGACCTTTCATGGCTGACAAATCACCACCACCTTTTAATATTAAATTAAAATCCTTTCAAATATTATTCTTAGAGTTAATATCTACAAAAAAAAAAAAAATATATTTAATAAAAAAATAAATAAATTTTGTGAAACTTCAAAACTCACATATCTAATATTTAAAAATCAAAGTCTATATTTACAAATAAAAGAAAAAAATGTTAACTTAATTTTTTAAAAAAATAAAGAAACAAAACAAAACTTCAAAATTTATTGATCTAATGTGAAAGAAAAAAAATATTAAATAAATTATTTAAAAAAAAATGAAGTTTCAAAATAAAACTTTAAAATTTATTCATTAATATTCAAGAACTGAAACTGATATCTACAAAATAAAAGAAAAAAATTAATAAATTTAAAAAAAATAAAGAAGTTTTGTAATGAAACTTTAAAATTCACCTATTTAACATGTAAAAGCTAAAGTTGACATTTATAAAATAAAAGAAAAAAAAATTACAAGCTTTAAAATAAAATATTAAAACTTACCTCAATATAAACCAATATCTATAAATAAACTTCAAAACTTACCTATTTAATGTTTAAGAATCTAAAACTAATATTTATAAAATAAAAGAAAAAAAATATTAAATAAAATTAATTTTTTAAGAAAGTTTCACTTCATAACTTACTTATCCAAAACCCTTAACAAATTGAAACTAATACCTACAAAAATAAATAAAAAAGAAAATTAGTATATACTTATACCTTCTATTTAAATAAAAATATTTTTTTAACTTACTGGAAGTCTAATAACTTAAAAAAAAATGAGTTAATACATTTTTTTAATATAATTAAACATTGCCATATATTCTACATACTTAAATAAATTTGGTTTTTTCAAATTTATAGGAGTTCAATAACTTAAAAAAACAACAAAAAAAAAAATATTAGTATATTTTTTTAATACAATTGAATACCTCCATACATTTCATATACCTAAATCTGGTTCTTTTAAATTTATAGAAATCTAATAACTTAAAAAACAAAAAAAAAAATGTTAATATATTTCTTCAATACAATTCAATATTATATAATCCCATATACTATGCTGGATTCTTTCAAATTTCTAGAAGTCTAATAATCTAAAAAAAAATTGAAAAAAAATATTAATATGTTTCTTTAATAGCCTTATATATCTAAATATAATTTATTAAAAAAAAATATTAAGTTCACAAAAAAACTTACCAAATTTAAATACTGAGCTTACAAAAAAAAGAAATATTAATTAATAAAAAAATAAGTTTAGTAATAAAAATTGTTACTAAATTTACAGGATCCTGGACATCACATATATAACTCAGAAGTTGACTTTTCGCAAATTAACCCTTTATTTTAAAAAAAATCAGGTTTTTTGCGATTATCTTGGCATCCAGTAGTCCAATTTATGTGAACTTTTTTTTTGTTTTGTAGGTCTCATCGAGCTCTACAAAATAAAAAAATCTGTATAAATCAGATCACTGGATGCCGAGATAATTGCAAAAAACTAAAAATAAAAAAAAAAGCAAATTGGGCCTTTTTTAGCAAAAAGTCAGTTATAACCTATATAAAAGATGTCTGGAATTCTAAATTTACCATTTTGACTTTGAAGTACTGAAGCAACAGAACCTATAAATCTCATAAAAAAAATAAAAAAATATTAAAAACATTTTTTAAAAAATAAAAAATATTGAAAGGTTTATAACAAAAAATTCATTATGAAACTTACCTTCTTTTAGCATTTCAGTCTAATATTAAAAGCTAAAAAAAGTTTACAAAAATAAATAAAAAAAAATTGAAGTTTAAAATAAATAAAATTTTAAAACTTAACTGAAATTTAATATTTAGAGAGTATTTATAAAAAAAAGAAAAACATTAATATAACATTTCTTATAATAAAAAAAATATTATTTCACATTTTATTGTGAAACATACCATTTTGTTTTAAAATACTAAGCCAAAACACTTGAATCTACAAAAAAAAAGAAAAAAATATTAATATAACATTTCTTACAAAAAAAGAATAAAAAAATTTTGTTTTACAACACATTGCAAGACTAATATTCTGCAAAAGATTTGGTCAAATCAAATTAATTTGGATTTAATTTGAATTTGATTTGATTTAATTCAATAATTTTTGATTGACAAATCAAATCTGAATCTTAAATTTAAATTCGAATTAAATCCAAATCGAATTTTAACGTGATTTGATTTG